ATAGATAGATAGATAGATAGATAGATAGATAGATAGATAGATAAAATAAACTACTACTTACTACTTGTACTACTATTCTTACTTCGTGGTTTTTCACTTATTGCGGGTCTTCAGAGTACGGATCTCGCACGATAAACAAGGAACTACTGTACAATATAGCTAAACAAAATTAGCATTGTTGCATAATTATAATTATGCATGCAGGTGGGGAAAAAAGCTTTTAACTTAAATATTGGTGCAAAACATAGTTATTTTAAGATACATAAACTTAAAATAAGATTAAGACTGTACTGTTTATAAATGAAAAAACAAGTTTTTATTCGCACGTGTCTTTATTTAAATACAACTTGAATTCGAATGAATAAAATTAGGTTTGAGCTGCCGTGGTTGAGATGCACTTTCCAGACAGGCATCACTCTTACTGGTCGTTTGTGGTGAATGAACCGTGCAGAGACTTCAGCGTCATTCCTGTTCTGTATCGTTTAGTGTTGCGAAACGCTGGGAGGTCAATAAAAAGCATTCTCTCAACCGTTTCCCGCTTGTCTTTGATGAAGAAGTTGTGTCTTCTCAGCAGAGTTGCAGCAGCTTGTACAGTTCCTTATTTAGTCTGATTAAAAACATATATATTAAAGTTCTCTTACCTCAGGAATGACAAACTGGCCAGCAATTAGCAGCGCCCCTAGCAGGTTGTCTCTGCCGTCATTCCTCAACTCATAGATGGGCACCTTAATCCAGAACATCGACACTTCAGATTCTGCAGGAACTGTACGTTTGCCTCGCTGAAAGAACAGCTCCTACCTGGGAGCCGGTGAGAACGATCGGTTTTCCCAGATTCTCGCACATGAAGGACAAGGCAGATGCAGTATAAGCCATAGTGTCGGTGCCGTGGAGGATCACAAAACCATCATAGTTTTCATAGTTTTTCTGGAGGAAACAGAGCACATAACGAGCATCATTTACTGTATACATGTAATTCATTTCTTTAAAGATGCACATTAAGAAGACGTAGTGTGTGTTTTGTTTTAAAATAGACAATTAAAAAAAATCTAATAATGAAATAAATTCAGAAACCAGTACCTCGATGTCTTTTCCAACTCTGCCCCAGTCGTCTGTGGTCATATTGGAGGAGTCCAGCAAAGGACTGTACTCCAGGATGGTGTAGACTATCCTCTTATTTAATTTATTCAAACTGCAAGAGACGGCAGAGAGCTGATGAGTTCACAACGTTAACATTGTTAAAAGTAATATTTGAGAGAACAAACAGCTAAAGTACATTTATTAGTCAGGTTAGTGATTGCAACTGAATTCACTGCAAACGTTACATGTCACATGATTATGTTTGTTCTACTCATTCAGAAAATAACTAAAGCTCTGAAAAAGCAAGGAGGTGAGTATAAAGAAGCCTAAAGCCATGATAAAAACATTGAGCTTGTGAAGTGAGGTAAAGCGTACTGAACTGGGCCTTCTGTCTCAACAGCAAGCTGCCAGAACCTGTTTCTACACACGCACAAAGAATTTGAGGTGGAAAAAGCGAGACATGTCATGCGGGTGCAGATACAGAGCACGCTATTGTATTGAGCTATACCACTGGGCTCTGCAAATACAGGCCGCTCGTGGTTCTGGTGACTCGTCTCATATTAAAGAAAAGGCCCGTGTGTGTCCATTTTTCCAAATACGAGTGAGAACAATGACTTCAACTCAGGTGACCCAAAGCTCTACCTGTAAGGCAGCGTGACGGGCTCAGAGGATGGAAAAATTCTTTTTCTAATCTTTTTATATATATATATATATAAACAGGGTGGAACCTCCACCACCACATTATCATGGGGCCATGAAACATAGGAGCTGAAAGGAACAGCAGGGGGATGAGCAGGCGATGCCCCAGCCCATCTCACCAGGGGGTCCTACAGACACTCAACGAATTAGCCGCCAGTCCAAATACAACACTGGAACATCTGTTGTTGCTAATATTAGAGCTAAAGTACCACACTTCAAATCACCAAGTATTCATCTTTCTGCCCGTGTGCCCTTAGGTCCACCAACCCTAAGACAAATTACCATACTAACACTAAATCGCCTAATAGTATAACAATAGTAGGGGTGTGTGTGTGTGTGCGAGAATACGACTGGGTGTTGAGAGCATTACCATCTTATGGGAAAAACTTTTCAATAAATCAATAAATGAATTCCCTGTTCAGAAATAAGACACAGGCTTAGTATTTACATCAACAGTATGCCCACACAACGCACATATTTGTTCTAAATCATTTATAAAGACAAGAGTAAGTAAACACCACAAACATATTATCCAGCAGGAACCAGCAGGAAACATTTGACAGAAGCTGCCATTTTGGGACCACTAATGATGTGGAGCTTTAAGACCTGCCAACTCCTCTCCACACAGTCATGGTGTTTCACAAAACTGTTTTTAAACCATGAAATAACTAATTACAGCGAAACATGTTTATAAAAAGAATATCTGAATATACAGCATTAAGGTAAAAAAATGTGTCAACACCTGAAAGACGCTATCTGAGGCGTGTTTATATATTTTTTTAACAAGGTCAATATGCTGTTTGTTAACGTGAAACAGATTTAAAACTGAAACCAGCCAATTGTGAAACTGGTCCTGGTTCAGCGTCAACTTCCGGGTTCCTCTCTGAGGTCTACCTATAAAGGCCTACAGTGGCAATTACAAAAACACAATTCAGTTCAATTAAATTACATTTACTTAAATAGCTCCAAAAGATACATGGAAAATATGTTTAAATTACAGCTTTAAAGTTCTATATCTAAAAAACTATTTAAAATAAATTATAAACATTTACTAATACCAACTGGGCGAGTGGTGGTGCAAAGGTTAGAGAAGGTGGGCCTGTGATCGGAAGGTCGACGGTTCAACTCCCCAGACGGACGACATCAAAATGTGGGTGGGAAAGGTGAAACACCCACACCTGTCTCCACCCTCATTTGCTCCACTCTGGGCCCTTGAGCAAGGCCCTTAACCCCCACCATCTGCTCCCCCGGGCGCTCTAGATAGCAGCTCTCTGCTCCACACAGAGGGCTGTGGTAGCTCGGTGGTCTGTGGTTGCGTCAGGAAGGACATCCGGCGTCAAAACAAAAGCCAAGTCTTCGTGCGAGTTAGTTCGATGTGGTGACCCCTGAAGAAGGGAGCAGCCGAAAGAAGAAAAAAAAAATACTAATGTCAACTGGAAATTGATTGATTTTTTTCAAGGGTCAAAGGCGAATCCAGTCTTTAAAAATCAGGACAACTGGTTTAATGTTTTTCAATTCTTTTCGTTTAAAAATTGACAAGTACATTGACATTTAAACAAATTATTTATTTATTTTAATTGTTTGTTGTAGCTATTATTTACATGTTATCATTCCTACACATTACTATGAGCTAGATTTAATTAATTAATTAATAATAATGATTGAAATTTTGAGCAAAACGTTTACTGTAAGGTGTTTGATAGTCCACTGCAGAAACAGCATAACACCTCAGCACATTTGAGTTGAAATTATAATATTTTCCCTGAAAAGTATAAATAACATTTTTCTTTTAAAAGTTAGCATATTAATGTAATCAATGTCTTTTTTTTTAAGTCTGCTAATGAAAGTGCGATGAAAGCCATCTTCATTGCAGGACATGATGTTTGACTGCACCAAAGGAACAACACAGATGTCCCTGCCTTCTAATTACCTTAGCAAGCTCGGGCCTGGCCAGTGCTCTGTATTAAAGAACGAGTCAGCAATGTGCCTTATGATTCAGTCAGCTGATCAGCAGGTACACCTCTACTTTTCTTTTGGTATTGTCACCCCTTCAACTGGCTCCTCGCAGAAGTTAATAGTACAAACTGTGCAGTCGGCGTACTTTGTCAATTGCCACACACGCACGAGACAACAAAAGCTGCGTTCAAACATACACTGCACACACTACAACCAAATAAAATTGTGTAGCAGCTGGCCTGCTGGGTGGGACGAGTACGCATCAGCAAGCCGGGAATAGGAAGACAAAAAAAAAAAATCTTCCAAGAAACATTTTATCCAACTGCCAAAGGCCACGTTGGCATGCATTTCCTCTTGAGGCCGTAGACATGAAAGCATTTACAGGCAAGGTGAAGGCACACGCCATGCTACCAGTTTTACAGCACCCATGAAACTGAAGACCAGGGTGGGGCGTTGGCTTTCTGTTCAAGTGACAAATGCAGTTTGAGGTCATTAAAACAACTTTAAGGAAGACACAAGGTAGTTTCCATTCAACCATTTACAATCTAGAGCGGTGGGACATCGTAAAGTGTTAGTTACATTTAATAAAACGGATGGAATAATCTACTCGTTAGGAAAACAGTTGGCTCATTAAGTCCAGTGGATGACATCACCGGGCATGCAGCAAATCTAGTTGAAAGAAAATGAAAACGACATCCCATTAAGTTGAAAATATTACCACCAACCTCACATGATGCTCACTTGGTGATCTTCTATGTACCAGATTATTATGTTTTTGGAAAATATATAAACCAGACAACAGTTACAAATAATTTGAATATAACAGAGAAATATAGTTTTTTGTTGTTGTTGTAAATTTAATACTATATTAAACACATACAGTCAAATGTAGCTTTAAAGCTTTGTTCTGTTTAGGCATTACTGTATGAAAATAAAAAGGTACAGCTGCGTAACTGAGCACTTACGGCAGGACCAGGGAGTTCATAGAGCCGTAGTACTCGTACATGGAGGTCTGCTGGGCGTACAGCTCATCATGGAGGATGGGCAGCTTGCGCAAGCTTTGCACAAGAGCATTGGCTTTGGGGGCAAGAACTGTGGATCACAATGGAGATATGAAAGTTACTGGCTTGTTCTTTGCATTAATAACCATTAAAAGGAGATCAGGCATAGTCTCAATAAAGAAGCACCATCAGTCTCACACTGAACCCTAGAGGTAAATGTAAGAAATGACACAATAAATACATGCCAGTCAAGTTTGTTCAACTGAAATGAAAAAAAAAAAAGACACCATACTGGACAGGTTGCTAAACACTTAAATAATCGAGAACAGCACATTTTTATACAGGACGTGGAACATAAAGATGGATAAAAGGCTTTTGAGAGACATACTGTGCTGTGTAAAAGCTTTAAATCACCTGTTGTTTCCTGTGGCTGCCTGTGTGTGTGTGTGTGTGTTTTGTTTGTTGGTACCATTATGAATCACTGGATGGATTTTTAATGCGCTTTTTGGAAAGTGATCACATCAGGCAAAGTTAGAGAAGACGGGCCTGTGATCAGAAGGTCTCCGGTTCGACTCCCCAGACCGACGACATCAAAAATGTGGGTGGGAAAGGTGAAACACCCACACCTCATTGTCCTAGAACTTGCTGAACTCTGAACGCCAGAAAACATCTTGTAGCTGCTACTTTCCTTCCATCCATTGACTATGATGACATTAGTTACATGAATGCCCCTGCCAGCTGTTTGCAGATGTTGGATGCTGTCTACCATGGCGCGGTAAGATTCATAACTGGTTGTAACTACCGCACCCATCACTGCACCCTGTACTCCTTGGTCAGCTGGTCATCATTGTCTACACGTAGGCTCTCACACTGGTTCATTTCATCTATGAATCCCTCCTTGGTCTGCTGCCTTCTTGTTACAACATGAACCCTCAGGACATCATTACCTGCAGCGTTCCCTCACTGCAGACTGAACTTGACAAAAAGGCCTTTTCCTACTCGGCTCCTGCAACCTGGAACACCTTGCACCAGGAACACGCAAGCAAATATGTTCTTGTTTTAAGTGTTTTACGGCAACTTGATTTATTATAACACTTTTTATTTTAACGGCATTTTTACTGTTGTTTGTTATTGTTGTCTGTACTTTATATGTTCAGTCTGGAACAGGTCTCTCTTGTAAATGAGTCCTCATGGCTCAATGAGACCAGCCTGTATAATAATAAGTAAATAAAGGTTGAATGAATGACCTGCCCCCACCCTCATTTGCCCCCCTCCGGGCCCTTGAGCAAGGCCCTTAACCCCCCACCATCTGCTCCCAAACAGGTCTCTCTTGAAAATGAGGGACTACCTGTATAAATAAATGTTAAATTAAAAATAAATAGCAAATCTACTGCCTAACTGTTAATTAACTGCTTAACCTGATTCAATATGGCCACCACAGCAAGGCTATTTGAGCAAACACAAAAATGACAATAAGTTGGTCCATTTTACAAATAAAACTGAGCTAAAATCTGGTGGTGGTAGCTGAGACTGATCCCCAACTCATATCTGAGAGCTGACCGACTACACAAGGTTACTGTTACTATTGACAAATGAAATCAACGTTGTCTCTGTTAGCAGAATATTTCCTGAATCACCAAATGAATTTTAATGGGACGTTCAGTGAGTAATCATTAGGGTGACCTCTACAAATGATGAACTTTTCAACTCAGTTCAAGTTAGCTGCAGAAGACTAACTTTAGAAAGCACAATGGCTACAAATCAGCCAATTTTATAGATACTGAGCTTTAATTCACTATGTTTTTAGTATATTTTAAATCTTGCTGTGTTCATCTCTTTGTCAGGGTGAAACATGCCTTCAAAGATGCATTACTGTGCAGAAGTTTTAACCTTTGTTCTATTTTGCACAACGGGGAGCTTTTAAACGCTTTAAAACATCTGTATGCGTTATGCAATGCCACATGTCAACATCTGGTTACTCATTCGGAGTAACTGGGTTGAAAGGCAAACACTTCAATTGAATCTTTAACAAGAATAAATATTAAAACATGTGAAGGTTTGTTGGATTTAGAAGACGGGTGTTCTCGGGTGTACTACAGTTGAGATCGAGTCTCAGCTGTGAGATGGTCCCAGACTATTTTCGGACGCACGTGCCGGTTGTTGTCACGCAGGATTTTAATCCGAGCCTCGTGTTTTGACAGAGACGTGGCAAAAACAAGCGTCGAACCAGCGAAAACTGCCCTTTCCTCCTCGTTTCGGCTTCTTACCGTTATCATGCAGCGTCATGCCGATGGTCCCGCCGGTGTTGATGACCAGGACACGAGACTCGTCCGCCACCGGCGACGGAACCGGGTCGCCGTTCTCGAGCGAGCTGCAGCTCGACAGCTTTCTCCTCCGGCATGGATGTAGCTGAGAGGTTGTCGGAGACGTGTCGTTTGTTTCCAGGAGGTTGAGAGAAGGCTGAGAGAGCGCCCGGCCGAGGGATACCAGGGATGTCGGACCGTTGCTGCTGAAGTCCGCCATGACGCGCCTCAAAGTGGCGCTGCCGCTTTAATCAGACCGTTAGTCGAAAGATGAAACGCCGCCGCCGTCACTTCACTTAAAACGTTTATCCTGGTTGAAAAAAATCAGCAAAACACATGATGTATTAACACACTTGCGTATCAAACAGAAGCTAAATGCATAATTTAAATATATTTTCATTTGGTAACTTTATTTGAAGACAACTTCCTGTACACTGCTAGTATGGACAGCTTCCGCTCTGACGTCACGGACATGGGCGTGGCCACCCGTTCTGTTTACAACAGATTTATTTTAGGCGGCTGATTTTGATTTTTTTTTTTATGTCATTTTTACCTTGATTTTAACATTTGAACACCGCACGCAACAGTATTTACTATATGTACTTGTACACAAATGCAGTATTTACTATAATTTAATTACAGTTTTGGAAGATGTACCAGATGGAAAAGATCCGAAATGGAGAGATCCCTTTGATCACTCCAAGAGATTTTAAACAATTGTTAAGTTCAATAAATCAATGCAAATATGTTCTATTTTATTTTATTTTGTTTTATATCACTACTTTTTAATTTACTTTTTTATTGTATATACATTTTATGGCTGTTTATGTTGTGTGTACCTTATCTGTAGTTTGTCTAAAACAAGTCTCTCTTGAAAATGAGTCCTCGTGACTCATTGAGACTAATCTTTATAAATAAAGCTTGAATGAATGTAAAAAAATTGTTTGTTTCTTTTTACTCTTTTAATCCCCAATGGGGAAAGTAATTCTATGCATTTTCCCATTGCCCATATGGGCATGCATGTGAGATGGGGGGCTGCCATCTGGGGTGCCCGGAGGACGGCTGGGGTTGGGGGCCTTGCTCGTGATGTCAGTCCAGGGAGTCGAGCCGGGGAGTAGGTCAGCGACCATCCGATCACAAGCCCACCCTCTCTAGCCTCTGCGCCATCACTCCCCCCAAAACTTATTCTAAAAAAGACAATTCTATGTTTTATTTTGTAAAAAAAAAGGACCAAAAATGACATACAGTTTGAAATGCATGATGTGTAATAAGCAAACTAGAAATTGAATGCTCAGTGCAAAAAGTGTCACCAATTTAAAAATCTTATTGTTGTGTTCAAACAATTAAAGTTAAATGTAAGCATAAATAAATCAAAGCAAGAAGGAGCAGCGAGGATGGAGAGATGTTACAAACAGATAGTCGACAATCCAAACTGGTGATGAGGAGAAAGATATATTAATCAGACATAAAATGAGCACATTTTTATTAGAGATTTAAAGAAACTTGTATCCTATCAACGTGTCTTGGTTTTGGACATGAGAGATGACTCAAACTTTTAATCAGTTTTTACAACACAAGCGGTACCACTATGAAGATAGTTATTATTTTAAATTGTATTTAAAATGCAGAGTTTGGACTGTTGAACCTCCAACTTAAAAGAATCAGTTTTATGTTCTTCTCTTACTTCTTCTTCGAGGGGCCGAGATGGGGTAGTGGCAGGGCAGCCGACCCGGGACCAGAAAGCTGTAGTTGGACTCCGAGCCATTCCACATAGACAAGACACCTAATCTCTAATTGCTCCCTGGGCACTTACATAGCTGCCCACTGCTCCACCTGGGTGTATCCAGGTGTGATGGTTTAAATGCAGAGAACTAATTTCACCATTGTATGACATACAGTGATAATAATCACAGACTCTCCTTCTTCTTCTCTTACCTGTATCCGGGAACACCTTGCAAAAAGATCTGAAGTTGTCAGCTTTGACCTTTCTAATGGATTTTAAACAACTGCTAAGTTCATGGCAGACATGTTCCTGTTTTTAGTATTTTACACCACTTTATGATGTAGCTGTTTTTTTGTTTCGTTTTTACATAATTTCTTCTATTTGCTTTTTCATTTTATATTCTTTTTATATGATTGTCCATTCTTGTCTGTACCTCATCTGTGTTCTTTGTTTAAAACAGGTCTCTTGTAAATGAGTGCTCATGGCTCAGTGAGACTAACCTGTATAAACAAATGTTTGTTTTAATTTTGTATGAAACAGAACACCTGTCCTGCAATGCAACAACACCGCCACACGGGGGCGATGTTACTCTTTACACCTGAGCATAGTCGCGATGCTAAATGCTAATGTTCATTTATACAGCAAGCGCGTATCAGATCAAAAACTTTTAGAATGAGACTTTAACAATTTTGTTTCCATAACGTAACTTTTTCCAAGCTATTGTAAACAAAATAATAAAAAAAAATAACTTTGATGTAAATAACTTAAAATGATCTAAACAATGAAACAAAATTCTAATTCCCCCACCCTTTTTTTGTTGTTGTTATTACGCCTAAACCTTAAATGTTATTTATAAGTCAGTCACCTTTTCATAACAACACGTATGAAAATTCTGCATTTTATTTTATGACAGTGTAATGTTTGTTTTACAATGGCTACAGTATTTTTGATTTGTACACTTTCCCCCAGCTGCTCCATTCCATCTGTGGGGGACTAAACACCTGTTTGGCAAGCTGATTTATCATATAAGAGTTGTTTACTTTTATTTAAACGGGTACTGTAATCTCATTTAGCAGATAGCAGAGAAGAAACCCAAACAGGACTCTAGTCAACCATCAGGTGAAAAGGAGGAACCCAGACCCAGACCAGTGGTCATTCTGTATGTTGTGGGAGTTTCACAGAAACTGAGACGTTCATTTTCTAAACATAACGTCCCAGTGGCTTTTAAACCCAAAAGTACATTACGGCAAAGACTGGTTCATCCCAAAGATCCAGTCCCCCGAAGCAAACAAGGGATATGTATTGTGTATGCTGTTCAGTGTCAGGGCTGTGATCAGTCTTACATTGGGGAAATTAAACAGCCACTGGCCAAAAGGATGGACCAGCACAGAAGATCAACATCATCAGGCCAGGACTCTGCGGTACACTCATCTCCAGGCCAGCGGTCACTTTCAGGAATGAAGATGTTCACATCCTTGATAGAGAGGAACATTGTTTTGAGAGAAGAGTAAAGGAGGCCATCTTTGTGAAGAGACGCCATGCATCATTAAACAGGGGCGGGGGGCTTCACTTTCAACTGTCACCCTCTTATAATTCTGTTATTGCAAGTATCACCCAGCCCCCTGTGAATAGCAAGTGGTCATCAGGCACTAATGACCAGTTGTTAGGCTTTTGCATGTGAACAACTACTTTGTAGTTTTGGGTGTCACCAGCAAACTGGTTGATTCACGATGCAAAGGGGCTGAGTTTTCTGCAGCTCCTCAGACTGAAGGTCTTTTGGATAAAAGACGAAACGTTTCAACAAAGAAGAATCCGTCCAGAGGACCTGACTCAACCTTGTTCGATTTATCTACCTGGATTATTGAGCATGCATCAGAACATGAAATCACAAAAGTTACATGAAATAATACATCAATCATAAAACATTATGTCTATGTCCCAGACGGATCAAACTGGACAGTTTCTGATCTTGTTGCTTTGTGTTCCAGGATGATGGAGAAGAATAGGAGGCGGCCTTTTTCCCCCAGAGTCATTTTCCAAGTTCTGTGAGAACTAAGGGGAGTGGACACTGAAATAAATAAAATCCTGGCATTGTACGTTGTGACTGCACTATTTTTGTAACATCATAGAACATAGATAAGGAGGCAGCAGGCTGAGGATGGATTTGTAAATGAAAGTGTACCAGTGTAGAAAGCTGCAGATACATAATTCAAGGATTCAAGGATGTTTTTACTGTCATACCAGCACACATTTGCATGTTTGTGGTACAAAATTTGGACTCAGGTTCCAGATCAAGAAGTCTAAGAATTATCTAATAAATAAATACAAAAGAGCACATATATATATAATAAATAAAATTAAAAAAAAAAAGTAAGATGAAGCAGCTAGAGTTCAGATGATGGTCTATTGGGCATTCTCTTTAAAGCAGACTGTCTTAATCTGGTTCTTCCAAATTAAAATGAACATTACAGCTAAACAGCACTAGTGTTGTGTCAAACATCATTCATTCAATTACAAATTACGTCATTTTTATCATATCATTTCGTTGCTACTAGTCACGAATGCCACCTGTGCAGACACACTAGTTGTTAAAATCCAATGGAAGAGGGAGTTTCAAATATTGTTCAAAGAAGAACAATGCGTACAATGTTTCTAAGGTTTGGATTGTGAATAGAAGCATATCTGGAAATCCAAAATGGCCTTTTTGTCTAAAAAGAACTTAATTATGAATATGTGCAACATAGTCTGTCTTTCCAGTCTAGACAATTTTTAGTTAGTGTTTAGTTAGTTTATTCATTCCAGACATGTCAAAACCAGTGCACACTGCACAGGGTGTATCAACATCAACACCAATATGAATCTGTGCATCGTTACATAGATACTGTATATACCAACACATAAACATGCACATTTGAACACACAGAACCCCTTGCAAAACAAACCCACATCTGCAAATACATCTGCTTTGACAAAATTAAAAATTATTATTATTAATAATAATTAAAAAATAATAATAATATATAATAATAATAAAATATAGTAAAAACAATGATTTTATTCCATTGTGCACACACCTATCCATGTACACATACCCATATACATGCACACACACAAATCCCATTTAACATGTCTAAAAAGACAATAAAATAAAAACAATAAACAACAAAATAAAAAACAAACAATACATAATAAATAACCTTTGAGAGCTTTCAGTTTTAACTATTGATGTGGCTTGATTATATGTATAAACGGCATGCCCTACTATACATTGGCTGAATGAAGCAGACAGGCGGAAGTGGCTGTTGATGCAGCTCCACACCTTTCCGGTGTAGCAGCAGTGCGGCCAGGAAAGGAGGAAGACAAGAGCTGAGTGAATTTATCGAGTCTGGAGGGAGAGAAAACTGGTAAATAACGTATATTACAATTAAACATCCAATTAGTTCAAATCGCCGCTAGACCTTTTGTCACCGTCGCGTGTATTTTATGTCTTGATTAGATTAGTTTTCTTTAGCTAACTATCGTTAGCTCATTAGCTTAGCTAGCTGTCTAACCGTCTTTAGACCACGAGCGGTAGCTGGCTAATTTTTCATGTCTGACCCTCCCCCTAAATCTCTTTTCAGTGCGGCCAGAGTTTCCTGAGTGGGTCTTTTTTTTTTCTTTTCGCTGAGTCACCGGGATTGTTTCCACCTTGGAAGTCGTCCCTTGAAGAGCCGTGTGCTCGCCCGGCGCGACCTTCTCTGAAGCAGCCGCAGAAAGCTGCTCTTTCTCCCCAGGCAGCGGTGAGGAGGAGCGCCTCACACTAACGCCAGAGGAAATTCAGCTCAAATATCTTGGATTTCTGAAGATTTTATTCACACTCACTCACTGTGTGCGCCTTCTAGGTCTCAGGTGTCCCTGTTGGTAATTATTGCAACTCTTTATGCTTGGGTTTTGTTGAACAATGAGCAACCTGCAACAGCTGCTGTCAAGTTTTTAGCTCCACTGTGTCATGTGCTTTGTAGGCCTATAAAATCCAAACATAAATGTTTCTGCACTCAACAGGTTCCTGACACACTTTAAAGTGGAAAGTCTCCAAAATCCTGTTAGGTTAAGTATGTGTTTGTGCTTTTGACTTTTTGTTTTTCCACCTAAATAGTTCTTTACTGAGTCATGGTTTCACCAGCGAGCCTGCACTGAACTCGAAGCTGCATTGACTGACGGTGAATACTCGGCAACAAAGCATCAGGTTTTCTTTTTCCTTTGGGACAAAGTTTTTATGCACAAGAGTTTAAAATGGGGAAAATGCTCTCAAAAATATTTGGCAACAAAGAGATGAGAATATTGATGCTCGGACTTGATGCCGCTGGAAAGACGACAATCCTTTACAAACTGAAACTGGGACAGTCTGTGACCACAATTCCTACAGTTGGCTTCAACGTGGAAACGGTCACTTACAAAAACGTCAAGTTCAACGTCTGGGATGTCGGAGGCCAGGATAAGATCCGCCCTCTGTGGCGACACTACTACACGGGCACCCAGGGCTTAATTTTTGTGGTGGATTGCGCCGACAGGGATCGCATTGACGAAGCGAGACAAGAACTCCACCGCATCATTAACGACCGGGAGATGAGGGATGCCATCATCTTGATATTCGCCAATAAGCAGGACCTCCCGGATGCCATGAAGCCACATGAAATCCAAGAGAAGCTCGGATTGACCCGCATCCGAGACAGGAATTGGTACGTTCAGCCGTCCTGCGCAACCACAGGGGATGGACTTTATGAGGGTTTGACATGGCTAACCTCAAATTACAAATCTTAATGATTGAGTGCTGACTGTTTTAGGTCAAAACTACAGGAAAAAAAAAGTCTCAAGTAACGATTAACATCTTCAAATGAGTATGGTTAATAAAAGTTGATGATCTGCATTTATTTTTCTTACTTTGTTCATCCCGTATGACTAATTTATCTTTAGGTTTGCTGGCTTAAAGTTTGCTTGCTCTGTAGCAGGCCTGTATCACATGTTATGGTTGGGGCTTGCTTGAACATTGAGTTAATTTTTTTTCCCCCTGAGCTTAAAAGCTACAGAATTCACCACTTTGGCCTATTTTTTCTGTTTTATATTGTTATTTTTTTCCTTCTAATTTTAAAATCTTAATTTACAGACTAAAGCTTTTTCAGAAGTCTTTTCAACTTGCGTCACTTTTCCCCCACCAACAGTGAGCTCTTTATTGTCACGTAGCCATCTTGAAGGACTTGGAACTTGTGTTAATACAGTACTGTGACTAAAAATGTTTCTTCTCTGGAGTTAAGAAAGCAGCAGGGTCATATGCAAGGGGGGGAATTACCTACATTTCACTTTCATTAGACATCAAAGGAAAAAAAAACATTTTGTTACCTGTTCCAGTCCCCTAAGTGGGCTATATAGTTAACTGATTGACCTTTTGTGTCATGTCTTGATATCTAATTGTGCTGAGTATTAAACAAAGAGGCCACCAGTAACTCTGAAACATGCTTGTCAAAATGCATTTTTTAAAAATAAGGGTAATGGGTAGTTGGCTCAGTCTTTCCAAATGAATGTCATTCAGCTCAGAACTCGCAGCCTGGAATCACAGTTGATTAGTCTCAGTATTGAGACGTTATATGATAGCCTATATCTGTAGCATGAGTACATAAGTACATACACCCCTACCTACATCAGAGTCCATCTGTTGGTGCAGTCGGAGGAAGCTGTTAACTGGCGAGATGCTGAATGACACCGTGTGCAGCTCCTCCTTTTTTGACTGGGGGAACTATGTACAGAACAACGTCATTGTATTGTCTTATTAAAAAAGTGATTTTAAGTCTTTTGTGTCTGTTGTTTTATTATTTTAGGAATTAATAATGGTTAGATGGAAGTAATACTGGAAGGAATATGCTTTATTTTTTAGGTATTTGCGTATTTAAAAAACGAGTAAATGTTTTAAAGTTCTGTTTGGGACGTTGTTGATGTTCCACGTTGAGGCTGCACGCTGGCTTTGGCCCCCTGTGCCTGTGAACAGGGAAAATAAGCTAAACAGGAAGTCCCAACTAGTGGCTTGTTTGGAACAAAAGTAACGCCACATGAGAGTGGAAAGGGCAGCGCAGATATCCAGCTGAATTGTGAATTTCTTTTGAATGTGACACGTTGGTTCTGAGCCACAGTTGTGTCAAAGCCAAGCTGCCACTTGTAACTTCCTGAGTTTGTCTTTTTGGGACTGGATTTAAAAACGATCGTTAAATCACTGAAACTAAATGTGACCAGTGATGGTCTAATCATTATTGCAGAGCATAGTTTGCCATTTAGATGTGAATTACATCACTTTTTATTAAACATCTACAACTAAAATGTTTAGCAACTAAACATTTAAAGACTAGACTTCTTGTAAATCTAAAGAGATGTCTTTCCACTTTCTGACTTTCCACTTTGAAAGTACAATCATGTACCATTCTGAACAAGCTTCTTTTTTAAACTTCATGACCGTAATATAAACCTGTAACTCCAATCAAACATTAAATGCATGTCGCCCGCTGCCATTTATGGCTGTTTCAATCCAAGATGGCTGCCACAGCCACGTTTCCAGATGTGTTAATGCTCAAGAGTATGTGCTGAGAACGACCCTCAGCTACTGCTGCATACACATTTTGAGTAGGTTATATTTTTTATTATTATTAGCAAAGGTTGATTAGCTATAGCAGCCATCTTGAAATGGGTTAACTCCAAATTGTACAAATAAACACTGGAAAAAAAATGTCACAACTATAAAGTTGTAATAAGAATGATGTGATTTACTGTATGAAGCGTTCAGGGACTATCGGACACCGTGCGTGAATCTCCGCGTGCACAGACCCTTTGTGTACTTTGACCACATTTGTCTGGAAAACCCGTCGCTGAAGAAAGTTACTCTCGAGGCCCCAGGGTGCTGCAGAGCTTTGAGTCATCCGTTCTCGTCAGGCAGGTTAGGTGACGAGAACGAATGCTTTGAGAAAAGATGTTTTAACATGAATCGCCTAACAAAGCAGTGGTTTAGAAGCTCTCTTTAAAGCCTTAATGAACATCAGCTACAAGCGGAGAAGCCGTTTCCTCGAGCTCAGCCTCCATCAGACGATGGCGGCCTAATTGGACATTTTGGTTCCCACCTCTTCATTACAACCATATGATCCTCGCAGCTTTAATGGCAACGCTTTGAGCCTGAAAGGCAAAGAGGTTTTTATGACCTGCCCTCTAAAGAGGAGACCTCCAGGCTCTTCTGAGCTCAGCGTGAACTCCTTCCTGAGAGGAAAGAGTTTCACATCAGGTCAAACCACTCGTTCATCTTTGCAAAAGTTCGATTTAACGTACAAAATACCAGCTTAAGCTTTTAATTCTATACTGACGCGTGCGCGACTAATTTGTCTTGGACTGCTCGTTTGTTGAGGCTGTTCCTTCGACGATGGCCTGATGAAATCTCTGCTGGTGTGTCTTCAGTATCACAAGTGACCGAGCCGCTGCGAGTTTACAATCACTTCCTCTGTTCTACGTGAAAAGAGGAAGAGAGAAAAGTCATCAAAAGAGACCCCTTTCTAGAACGTCACATGACAAATTTTCCACTTTTTTTTTTTTTTTTCCACAACAGCCTCCCTCTTAGTCATCGTCAACAATACAGCTGCAGAGGAGGAGTACAGCTGTACTCCGCCCAAGCTTTGACAAACCCAACCTGAACTGTCTTTGTGGCTTTCTCGGGTGTGGTTTCTCTGACTCACTTGTCTTCACTTCCTCTGAACTCCATCGGCAGAGCACCACTTGTGCAGGTCGCTCCATTATTACGCTCGTCTCTTGAACTTGGGCCTATAGTTTAGCAGTCGCATCCGTATAGGTAATTGCATTCAAACCCAGAGAGTCCTGTCCTCAAAGTCCAACGCTGTCATTATGGCAGTTTATTTATCTGACAAATGGCAAGAAGGATCACCTACTCTGAACCACGCTTGTGGTTCCGTTCAGTCGCTGCTTGTTCTCATGCTCACGGACACTAGAATGATCTCTTTGGTTGTGAAACGGCTCCCTCCCTGTGTTCTTATTAATTCCTGTGCACCCTCTTTGAGCGTGCCGATACATTTGAACTCATGCAGAGCTTAGTTTAAAGCAGGTGCGGAAGTGGCTGAAAATGGCTGTTTCCTGCTGTGGGTACGTGCGCTGAATGGCACAATAAATATCACCATTGGTTTTCTTTCTGTACTGTAAGTTTGAGTGGAGTTTTTTGTTGACTGCAGGTGTTTCAGAGCAGCTTCTTCACAAAAAAAAAAAAAAAAGTGCTGTAGGTAAGCCAAATAAGGTTGAACAAACGTAGCCATGAAGTCCAAGGTTCTCTGGGCAGTCGTCCAAAACACATTCCTCTTTTATCTTCAACTGAAGGTTACTCGCTGTGGTGAAATGACTAATTCAGGGAACCAGAACATGATTATAAGGTGTTGTGAGTCCACCTGACACGCTCAATTTAGTGAGCAACTCGATACACAAAGTGTTCATGCAAGCATTCACTTACATGATTTAGTCGCAAACTATCACGCTGGGTTTCCACCATCCAGTGAGCTTCTTGTCCACATGGGTCCGCTTGAGCATTTACAGATGTTTAACACAGCTGTACGAGTGTGTAAACCAGTTTGTCCCTGCACTGATGCGTTGTAGTGGATAAGAACCATCTTCCATTCTGGGGTGAGCTTTGCTTTAGTTTGGCGGAAGGAGAAAACGAACGTATCAGTGATGATTGGCTGCAAAGAAAAGTAGCATACTGTCATTTTGGCTGCTGAGGACTACAAATCAGCCCAGGTGGTAATATCTTGGCCTGGTGTGCATGTGTTAGCAAAATATCTCAAATCATTACATTTTAATGAAACTATCAAAATAATCATAGGATGTGCATCTACAACTGATTCCCTTATGGAATCACCCCAGTTCTCAGTGGTTCCCAACCCTGGTCCTTGAGGAACACCACCCTGCACGTTTTAGTTGTCTTCCTGCTTTGACACCCCTGATTTAAATGAACAGGTGATTAACAGGCGTCTGCAGAACCTGATGAAGTCACTGAATCAGGTGTGATGGAGCGGAGAAACAACTAAAACATGGATGGTGTTCCTCAAGGACCAGGGTTGTGGAACCACCAGACTAACTAATACAAAAACGATTATAACAGTTAATTTTGCAGATCTTGAGCTAAATCATGCTATGATAGGTGCTCTTTAACACATTGTCTGAGCACCATCAGATTGTGACGTTTCACAACAAATCGGTGGATGAATGCAGTGCACAGTTTACCGACCTTTGTCACGGAGCATGTTTTTACAGAAACAGTGGAGGGTGATGTTATCATCTTGGTGTGCAATAATGTAGAACAAAACATTCACCCAGCAGCGTTCACATGGACTGACAGGATGATGAAGATCCACGTAAAAACCTCTAAAGCTTTCGTGAGCATTTTGCCACCATGACAAACTGCGTATCTGACTTGATGGCAGTAATTACAGTGGAGTCGGTGCTGTGATGGTGCAACTGGATTAAAAAGTTGTGTTTTGGAAGGAAACCTTATATCTGTGGAAAGTCGGGCAGCTTCCAATCCCCTATCAGACCATCCGGAGAGTAATGAGTCAGGGAAATGTTGCATTTGAACAGTGTTCCTCCTCTCTGTACTGGGGCCAGCACATCTTAATCATGACAAATGATCTGTAGCACTAGAAATGCTGTAGGGTCAGCAAACATAACAAATGAGAATTCCACAAACCAGAGTATAAAAGTGGTTTAAATTTTTATAGAGGGATACCAGTGCCTAAAAATATACGAGCGCAAGTCAGAATGGGAAAAGGGGAGAGCGCGGAGTATATTATCACAGCGCACATATTTGTGTCTGCTCTCAACTGCAGCACAGCTGTATTAACAGCACCCCTGCAGGAGCATGGGAGGAGTCTGCATTGTGGCTGTATAAGCTAGATGTCCCACAGTGATACGGTGCCAATTCACGCCGTCAGAGTCACTCCAGCAGAATTTATCAGCAACGTTGCATCACTCCCATACCAGAAAGCACGATTCACACGTTCTGCTTCAGGAGTGAGGTCTCTATGTGAAGCTTAAAGTTCAATGAACTTAGTTTTGCCATGTGAAAGATAAAAGGGGAATTTGTGTTTGTGTGTGTGCAGTGGAGGGGATGGGGATCTTAGCAGAATCAGAAAAGTCACACATTTATGCAGCTCTTCTATTTTTAAGCAGCCCAATTTGATGTCTATTCTCGAGCCACTCCCTGATAGTGCAAAAGCGAGCCTTCTTTTCTGGAACAGCGTCTCTTGGCTCCTGGCAGTGTGATGATGGTGGCACAAAGGATCCTCTGTGGCATTTGGCTGTGATGCTGCAGAGCGAAGCATGCTACAGAGGCTGTCGGGAGTTTTTACAAGATATCCAGGGTCGTCACAGATCATAGAGCCATGCAAATAAATTCACTGCAGCAGCACTTTGTGCAGACAAGAAACCAACTATTCTAATACATTTAAAACAGTTTTAATGCATCTTAAAGATATATGTTCAGACAATCCTGAAGGCTTGAATTGTATTTTCTTTGCAGGTTTTCTTGCAGAAAACATAATAGCACCATCTGTTGGCAGAAAATGCCCTCATTCTGTCTCGTTGCAGTGAGGTACATGAACATTAACGATCCTGTTATGGTCATCTGAATCAACCGTAATGTGCGTATGAAAACAAACTACAAAGACACCACTGCTTCACCGTGGCTGCTCCCATTCACAGCAAGCCTCCTTTTAATCCCCTGTAGTGCTAGCCTAATTAGTCAACTACAAGAGAAGACCTCCACGCTGTTTTAATGAGTTTTAGTTAACGTTTAGGGAGGAAAAGCAGAAAGATGTGGTCAAAGCTGCTTGAATATAAAAGCTAAGGGCAGATTAGAGGAGGAAATATTGACACAAACCAGTGGATATCCCCTTCTTCTTATATAATCTTCCTATAACGCTCTCTGGGACCTGTCCCTAACACACAGGAGGGCATGGATTTAGTACCAGCTGTGACTCAAATTAATTAGCTGGTCAAAGCCGGAGGAGACCTCAACATAAGGTCAGCTCCTGCAGCTTGAGGCACAAGTGAGAGGGCAGCGCAGGGCCACAGAAAGCGATTAAAGTCAATGAGCTGCCTCACTTTTTATAGTAACAGTAAAAGAAACGGCATCTGGTTTCTGTTTTTTCATGTACAGAACTGCTGGTCAAAGCTTACAGTTTATAAACAATGGGACCCTTTTACTGTGATTTAATTAAATTAGAACTAAATTATCAATATATACATATTTCAAATACTTTGCAGTTCATTAATTATCCTATTTGTGAACGCATTTGCGTGCTTCATAAAACTGTTCACTATATCGAACAAGTAACTCTAGTTTTGCAAGGAAGGACACGAGGATCGTTCTCATGAATATTCAGATTCATGCTCTTTTATAAAACAATTAAGAGTGCTTAGATCTTCAAACCTAAAACTTGTCAACTTCTTTGTTCGCATTTTTAGTGCGGGTGTAGAAAGCCGCCCGTGCTCATTACACAATTAATGCTTTGCTGTGTAAACAAAGCAGCATGAAAGGCTGTGAGGGGCCCTGCAGGACTGTGCGTACGAGACAAACTGCATGGTTTTATGCTTGAAAAATAACTGTAATCTTCCTCTTAATCTGGAGCTTTGAGTGGAATTCCCCTCGCATGGAGGGCAAGACTTGGCATACACGTTGATTTTCAAAACATATTAAGTTACATAAACAATTTAATTTATTAATTTTTCTAGTCTTACTTGATGTAAAATGATTAATAGTATTTAATATATTAAATTACTTTTATGTAATGAACTAAACAGTTCATTCCCAAAGTGATGTTTTTGTGAACACAATCCATTTAGCACATAATGAGTACTCGAGTTTAAGTTCGAACATGTGCTGCCCTCTACTGTTTGAATAGAGTAGTGTCCAAATGTGCACACACTACCATGACCTGCAGAAAAAACAACAACTTGTATGTACAGTACAGGTAAATCTAAACCAACAGGCCCACCGTGCTGCCCGGAACTTTATTATAATATTCTAATTTTCTGAGACACTGAGTTTTGGGTTTTCATTATCTGTAAGCTACAATCATCAAAATTACAGGAAATAAAGACTAGAAATATTTCACTCTATATGTAATGAATCTATTTAATGTTCACTTTCTGAATAAAATATTGAATATTTAATAAAACATTCAACTTTTTCACGATATTCTATTTTTTTTTTTTTAGACGTACCTGTACACAATGAACTTTTATATGTTTATTTGTAAATAAACGTGACAAATGTAATTTTGTTATATTAATATTCATTCATTCATTCAACCTTTATTTATACAGGTTAATCCCACTGAGCCACGGGGACTCATTTACAAGAGAGACCTGTATATTATATTATTATATATAATATTCAAAGTCAGCGCCTAAAACAACATTGAACTGAATAATTACTAGACATTGTTTTAACTTTCTTTTTATTATCTGATGAGAAAAATATATTTAAAAATATAAAATTATAATGAATATGTTATACAGGCTGTGTAGACGTTCAGTTTCTACTACATAACATGATATTCAAGTGGAATTGGGGATACATTCGTAGAAAAACCAGTCAACAGATTTGAACCTTTTTTCGAATGTGCAGAATGTGGATGTCCGGACTGCTGAACTCTGGGTCTTGTTTGTCAGAAGGAATCTTCTCACAGCTAAAGTTTTGTTGCAGCAACTAAACAATGACACAAAAGAGAGTCAGTAGCTCTAGCAAATGAAAATCTGAAGTAAAAAAAATATATATTTTGTTTTGTTTCGTTACCTCAAAAAACTGTTTTTCCACCACTGGATTGATGCCTTCAGTGCGTTGTTCATAGCAGCAAATAACGCAGGTCTCTGGTCCAGAAAGCAGCTTTAAACTCTCCACCAGAGGAATAGTTGACTTTAAGAACAAAAAATGACAAGCAATGAGAATTACAGCAGAACATGTTATGGTAGTTTGCGTTCTTTCAGAAATGTGTTGCTGTAAAGAACCATGGTGAACTAATCAGTAAATAAATACCTGCTCATAATAGATGCAATCTGCCATAAGTATGTATTGTGGGGGAGGCAGGAACTCAGATACATCATCACCCCTTTAAAAAAAAGTTGGAATTAGAGAGGTAATATAAAGCGGGTATGAAGCTTGTGCAGATGTTGAAGTTTAATTCTGTTTATTTTCAAAAACAATTAAGTACAAACCATTTCAGTACCTTGGCAGTTATGGACCCATTACTGATGAGTGCCTGGTTTTCTTGGATATTTAACCTCAGAAGAGTCTGCAAATCTTCCAGATCTGTTACTGTAACTTGTGCTCTGTAAATAAACAAAAACATCACCATTTTTTTTTTCACTACAACCGGGCATCTGCACAGATCTGTGGCGTTATGCCTTAACATATCCATGCAAGACAACACTGACAAAATAGCCGAGTAGTATAATGAATCCTGAGTATCTGACCCGAGTGTCGCTGCCATCAGACCAACCACTCCAGTTCCAGCTCCTAACTCCAGCACGCTGCTGCCAGGCCACAAGTTCACTCCTGAAGACGGCTCGTAAAACTGTTTCGTCTCTAAATATTTAGCGAGAACAATAGCTGCGTCCCAGACCACACAACCGACGTCTCCCATGTAGCATTGCTTCAACTTTAACGTACGACCGTCATTTTTCTCAATTTCTCTCACAAAATACTTTAAATTATCTGAGTGAGCCGCCATATTGGTCAAAACCGGAAGCAGAAGAGAACTTCCGTTTAGAATAATTTTTCAAAGTAAAAGTCAAAATTGCTGGGATATAAAGTTGTTTTTTTTTTTTTGACAACTTGTAAATGCGTTCAGATATTTATTTTTTTCAGCATAAAAATATCGTTAGTGACCGCGACTTCCAAATCTGTCACAACTAGTTTGGGAAAATAAAATGGTTCGTTCGTGCGATTTAAAGTTTGTTCCTCTTATCAACCCAGTCAATTTCCTGCTTGATTTTTACTTTATTTTTGATAAACCGTTGTTTCTTTATTGTTTAACTGAAAACGTTACTAATTACACATCAAGCTGCGAATATGTAATATGAACATTTGTGACATGCGCAGTTGCTACCTGTCGACGTAAAGTTAGTCTCGCGCTTGCTTCAAATTAGTTGCTAGCAAACTGACCGGAAGAGATTTGTGTTTTAAAATTGTCCAATTTCTCTGTTTTGAAAGTAAATTAAATCAAAAATATTGACGATAAATTAGATTTTGTGATATTTTAAAATGTATCACAGCAGCACGGAGGAGGTAACGATGAGCGGTGACGCCTCTGAATGTGGACCAAAACGGAGCTCGTCCTTAGCGGACAGTCACAGCAGGAGGCTGAACGAAGCCGACACTTCTTCTTGTCCCATGTCACTTTCCTCTGTTTGGTCGAGGCAAAGCTCAGATGGAAGCAGCTCCAAATCAAGTCATGGCCCATCATTACCAGTAATGACCTCAGGTGATTTTACAGTTTAATTTTATGTGACAAGAAGAAAACACAATAATCAATGCTTTTGGTAGCTTAGCCTAGTCTCTAATTTTGTTCTGATAGTCAGTTATAAAACAGTAAATTACTGAGGCCACCAAATCATTTAGTTGATCTTGGCTTCATGATAACAGTATCCATCTATAGGTCAGTGTCCCGCCAGCTCCAGGATTGTGAGGACGCCGTCATCAGTCCTCATGTCCACCTCAGACAGCTCCTCTCTTCACTGCCACAGAGAAACACCAAGATTCAGAAGGACTCCGGGGTCTACGGGGCCCACAGGTTTGCACCTTGCACAGTCAGTGACGATCCAACGTGATCCTTACAGAGTAACGACTATTTTTTTACAGGAACAAGCAGCTCATCTGGGTCCTTACTCTCTGGAGCCTCGGTGATCGTGGCAGTAGTTGAAGGCCGTGGTTTGGCCAGGGGAGAGATAGGCATGGTCAGTTTCAACTTGAAATGTCCAGAGCTTGTACTTTCTCAGTTTGCAGACACAGGAACATATGCCAAGGTAAACTGTTTCCTACGGGCAAACAATACTTGAGAAGAACACGTGAAACAGGGATTATGTTAGCATTTTTTTTTAATTTTTTTTTACATCTTTCTGAAGGTTGTAACCAAGATTCACATCTTGATGCCAGTGGAAATATTGATGCCAGACACAGCCAGTGAAAAAGGGAAAGGAACTAAGCTGTACAAGCTGATCACTGAGAACTTTCCTGTATGAGTAAATCAAATAACCCATGTTCACCCATGTTTTGTTGAATTACTGTATATTATTTCATTGGTGAAGACATGTCTGTGTGATATAACACGTGTACATGTTGATTTTAAATTGCTCAGGGTGTAACTTTTACTGCAGTCCAACGAAAGTATTTTAATGAGAGGAAGGGACTGGAGTATATACAGCAGCTATGTGCTCCAGAGTTTAACACTGTCCTTATGGAAGTACAAGCAAAGTAAGTTATTAAGTTCATTGATGTGCAGAACTACCAGTGCTATGTTTTAACTACCTTATCTTATTATGTGTTTAGGTACTATTGCCTAGCATCAGCAGCTGCTTTGCTAAAATACCTAGAATTTCTTCAGAACTCTGTGTATGCTTCTAAGTCACTTAAAGTAAGCTTTAAGGGGAGTGAGGAGACGGCTATGATTGACTCAGCATCTGCCGCCAACTTGGAGTTAGTGATTAATAACAGAGATCACAGGTAGGAAGGAGTGCAAACAGCTACAGGTGCTGGTCATAAAATTAGACTATCGTGATAATTTGATTTATTTCAGTAATTCCATTCAAGAAGTGAAACTTGTATATTACATTCATTCATTGCACACAGACTGATGTATTTCAAATGTTTATTTCTTTTAATGTTGATGATTATAACTGACAACTAATGAAAACCCCAAATTCAGTGTCTCAGAAAATTAGAATATTACTTAAGACCAATTAAAAAAAAGGATTTTTAGAAATGTTGACCAACTGAAAAGTATGAACATGAAAAGTATGAACATGAAAAGTATGAGCATGTACCACTCAGTACTTAGTTGTTGCTCCTTTTGTCTGGATTACTGCAGTAATGCGGCGTGGCATGAAGTTGATCAGTCTGTGGTACTGCTCAGGTGTTATGAGAGCCCAGGTTGTTCTGATAGTGGCCTTCAGCTCTTCTGAATTGTTGGGTCTGGTGTATCACATCTTCCTCTTCACAATACCTCATAGATTTTCTATGGGGTTAAGATCAGGTGAGTTTGCTGGTCAGTTAAGAACAGGAATACCTTAAACCAGGTACTGGTAGCTTTGTCACTGTGTGCAGGTGCCAAGTCCTGTTGGAAAATGAAATCTGCATCTCCATCAAGTTGGTCAGCAGCAGGAAGCATGAAGTGCTCTAAAACTTCCTGGTAGTTGGCTGCGTTGACCTTGGACCTCAGAAAACACAGTGGACGAACACCAGCAGATGACATGGCACCCCAAACCATCACTGACTGTGGAAATTTGACACTGGATCTCAAGCCACGTGGATTCTGTGCCTCTCCTCTCTTCCTCCAGACTCTGGGACCTTGATCTCCAAAGGAAATGCAAATTTTACTTTAATCAGAGAACATGACTTTGGGCCACTCAGCAGCAGTCCCAGGTGAGACGCTTCTGATGCCGTCGCTTTTTCAAGAGTGGCTTGATACAAAGAATGTGACAGCTGAACCCATGTCTTGCATACGTCTGTGCGTGGTGGTTCTTGAAGCACGGACTCCAGCTGCAGTCCACTCTTTGTGAATCTCCCCCACATTTTGGAATGGGTTTTGTTTCACCATTCTCTCCAGGGTGTGGTTATCCCTATTGCTTGTACACTTTTTCTACCACATTGTTCTCTTCCCTTCGCCTCTCTACTAATGTGCTTGGACACAGAGCTCTGTGAACAGCCAGTCTCTTTAGCAATGACCTTTTGTGTCTTGCCCTCCTTGTGCAAGGTGTCAACTGTCATCTTTTGGACAACTGTCAAGTCAGCAGTCTTTCCCATGATTGTGTAGTCTACAGAACTAGACTGAGACCATTTAAAGGCCTTTGCAAGTGTTTTGAGTTAATTAGCAGATTAGAGTGTGGCACCAGGTGTCTTCAATATTGAACCTTTTCACCATATTCTAATTTTCCGAGATACTGAATTTGGGGTTTTCATTAATTGTCAGTTATAATCATCAACATTAAAAGAAATAAACATTTGATATATATCAGTATGTGTGTAATAAATGAATATAATATACAAGTTTCACTTTTTGAATGGAATTACTGAAATAAATCAATTTTTTCATGATATTCTAATTTTATGACCAGCACCTGTATAAGATTATGCTTTTTAAAAACTTATTGTATAATTGATTCTGCCTTTGTTTTTGCTTGTTTCATATAGGAGTGAGCATACTCTTTTAGGGGTACTCAATCACACAAAAACTCCTGGGGGAGCCAGGAGACTGCGCTCTAATATTCTGGAGCCTCTGATCGATGTGGACACCATCAACATACGCTTGGATGCCATACAAGAGCTGCTCCAGAACGAGGATCTCTTCTTTGGGCTGAAGAATGGTCAGGAGCTCAAATGAAACAGTTTTTAATTACACGTGAATTATTTTTGTACGAACAGTGTCACAGTGTTCGTTTCTTTCCCTTTAGCTATAGGTCATTTCCTTGACATTGACCGGCTGCTTTCTGTTCTTGTTCAAATCCCAAAGCAACAAACAGTGAGTACAGTATTTGTATTTCTCAGAACTGACCACATAAGCCAAGCTAAGCTGAACCAATTGCACATCATAAAGGATTTTCCTTTTTTTTTTAAAACTTTTTGTGCATTTTCAACATTTCTGAGTACTGGTACAATTCTCTCACAGGTTAAAGCTGCTGAAGCTAAGATTACACATGTCATTCAGCTGAAGCATACACTGGATCTGGTGCCACAATTAAGGGTCTGTGTCTATTAATATAGAAATCTCAAATAATCCAACAGCTATTAATATATTTGTGAAAGCTAAATTAAATATTAAGTTTATTGAACAGGCAGTGTTGAAGGACTGTAGCACAGCTCTACTGAAGGCGTACAGCACAGCACTGGAAGACAACAGGTATAAAGTCTGTTTAGGTTTCTGTATCTTCACATCTAGTACTTAATCTAAACTCTTTGGGTTAATGTTTCAGATTTGACATGATCCTCCAGCAGATCAAGACAGTGATAAACTGTGACACCACATATTTGAAAGGCAGCCTGAACATGCGCACACAGAAGTGTTACGCCGTGCGGCCTAACATCAACGAGTTCCTCGACATCGCCCGCAGAGCTTACACTGAGATAGTTGACGACATTGCAGGTGCTCATACCAGATGTTTTATGAAAATTAACTTTGTGCAGCGTTGGTGTAGTATTTCCTTAGCTCATAGTGAGAGTCACTGTTCTGCACAGGGCTTGTGAACCAGATGGGGGAGAAATATGGCTTGCCAATGCGCACCAGCTTTAGTACAGCTCGAGGATTCTTCATCCAGATGAAGCTTGAAGGCGTCGTTTTACCTGAGGACAAACTCCCCCCAGAGTTCATCAAGGTACCATACTCTAATGACACAAATGGCACATGAAAAATAAACAAACTTAAGTAGGACTGGGAACAGCTGAGAGTTAGCTGGTAATAAAGGAAGTTAAACTGACCCCGGTGGGCTCTAAAGTTGACACAAATTACAGAAAACCTGAGATTTATTATCCTCCATCTCAGGTTACCAAGCACAAGAACAACTATGGCTTCACCACGGCAGACTTGATGAAGATGAATGGACGCTGTGATGAAGCCCTGAGGGAGATTTTTCACATGTCCTACGTGTGAGGAGACCGATCCTTTAACTTACAAACTTGCACGCTAATGACACAATATATCTCACTGCACGGAATAATTTGGAACACTAAAACACAGATTAGTATTAATAAAATAAAATAAAAAAAACATATTTTAAGACATTATTGACAAAATGCAAACTCACAAAAAGTGTGACAAACTATTCACATGGTTGAAATTTTATTTGAAGGCAGCAATTTTGATCTACTTTGTGTCCACCAGAGGGCGCTGTTCGGAAAGTATATATATTTTTTTAATAATGAGTGTTCTGCACTTTCATCTGTTTGTTCTTCTTGTAGGGTGATATGTCAACTGCTTGGCACCATCCATGAGCACATCCACTGCCTCTATAAACTCTCTGATGCTGTGTCCATGTTGGACATGTTACTGTCGCTGGCTAATGCGTGCACAATCTCAGACTATGGTAAATATAAGCCAATCTGACTTCTAATTTTTACTCAGTCATGTGTTATCTAAAGAGAGTAACCACAAATGGCTGCCTCTGTCACACACGACAGACAGTTTCTGCTTTACTGAGCTCGCACCTCTGCAGGGCTCAGTTCTTTTTTTGTTTGCTGCACCATCAGCCACGTGGGTGGTGAGCATTGGCCCTCAGCTGTCTGAAACTGTCTCTTCATAGACGCACGCTGACGGCCTGCCTCGTTCTGTCCTAGCCGACTCAGATTACCCTTCTTGCATAAGAGCACGCTGAGGTGCTGTATTTGCAGAGACAAGTACAGCAGCCTTTTAACCACAGCACACATCTCCCTCAGAAATGGTTATTTGATCATACTGTGAGCCGTTTTTCAAGCAATCAGCAATAAATTGTGATTTTTTTAAATTGTCAAAAATACAGTAGAAGACTGTGGCTTTATTTATTTGCTTTTTTATTACAAATATATATGACAGTCCATCCATTCATTCGTCCATTATCTTTACCCGCTTCTTCCTTTTCGGGTCACGGGGTCACTGGCGCCCATATCCAGCAGTCACTGTGCGAGGGATGGGTTCACCCTGTCCATCACAGGGACACACAGAGGGGGAGCACCCAGAGAAAACCCACACATGCATGGAGAGAACACGCAAACTCCACCCAGAAAGGTGCATGAAAACCATTTGTTTCTATTAAAAATGTATTTTTTTGCTGTGTTTGCCAGTTCGTCCTGAGTTTACAGACACTCTAGCCATCAAGCAAGGTCGTCACCCCATTTTGGAGCGCATGGCTCGACAGCAGCCCGTGTCAAACAATGCCTACATTTCTGAGGGCAGCAACTTTGTCATCATAACAGGGCCCAACATGAGTGGCAAATCCACCTACCTCAAACAGGTGGCGCTGTGTCAGATCATGGCTCAGATCGGTCAGCATCATATTGAAACCATAGAAATGCTGCTAAGAATTGTTGTGACTTGGTTTTACCTTATGATCCTGTTCTATTATTTTCCAGGTTCTTTTGTCCCCGCTGAATACGCCTCCTTCCGTGTTGCTGATCAGATCTTCACCAGAATTGGTGTGGATGATGATTTCGAAACTAACTCCTCTACTTTTATGCTGGAAATGAAAGAGGTGTGTTCTTTTTTAAAAAAAAATACAGGGACCTCTCACATTCATTTGTCTAAAATGTTTTGTTTGTCTTGAGGTCTCTTATATAATCCACAATGCGAGTGACAGGTCCTTGATCATCATTGATGAGTTGGGGCGTGGCACGAGTGCTGAGGAGGGCATCGGCATCTGTCACTCAGTCTGTGAGTTCCTCCTTCGCCTTAAGGTGAACTATGCATCAGCACCACTCCTCTTTGATAAAAACCAGATCATTCAGATTCCATCACTCTTCTCTAATTGGTTGTGAAACATCTCTTCGGTCAACAAAGAAGCAGCAAAGCAAATACAAAAATCCTGTACGCTCACTCTTGTTTTAATCTTGAACGTGTGTTTATTTTCTCCGCCGCTTGCAGGCGTTCACTCTGTTTGCCACGCACTTCCTGGAGCTGTGTCAGCTGGAGTCTCTCTACCCTAACGTGGAGAACCAGCACATGGAGGTTCAGCACACGCGCCGTGCTGACACCGGTGCAGAGCAAGTGGTGTATACGCATCTGCTGAGCCGAGGATGCTCTGAAAGGCACTATGGTATGGAGTTAGTGAAACCCAACAACAGACATGTTGAAATTTGCTTTTAAAATGATCACAAAGCTTAAATTTTACTTTCAAGGTTTGAAAGCAGCAGAAATGACCGCACTTCCTCCAGGTGTAATCCAAGAGGCAAAGGTTATCGCGTCTCAAGTCAGCCAGCAGCTTTTGGTGCGAATCACAAGGATCAGATTAATTTAGTTCAACCCTCTTTTCTGCTTTAATTTATTTTTTATACATTTTAGTCACTGCCTTTCTATCAGATTCCATATAATATTAGTGATAGTTCTTATATTTAACCCTGACATAAGGTTCAACGTCCTTTTAAATTAAAAATACTATCTTATTATTATCAATAGAATTTTTCTGAAGAAGAGACTAAAACTAACGTGCACTTTATTGCTCCAGGCCAAACGTCAAACTGATCCAGAAACTCAGAGACAGAGAGCGGTGTACCGCCTGGCCACTCGCCTCCTGCAGACTGCCAGAAACTCAAGACTTGACCCTGAAAGCCTGCGGATGTATCTGAAGGGACTGAAGAGGCAGTATGAGGCTGAGCTGCAAGCTGCAGGGACGCCAGAGAGCTTAAACACAGAGGAGGAGTGACTCCCCTTCAGTAGAGGGAGAAGCTGAAATATAAAAGAAAGTATTGTCCATCCATTGAAACTGCACATATTGAGCTCATTGTGTGAATGCTAAGTTAACGTTTGCAATGTTATTTTCCTGTTGTAGTTTCCTCCATACTGTTTTTGGACTGTAACTACTTATCAGCTATTTCAATAATTCATATATGAAAATGTTCGGCTCATTCAGGACACAGATATGACTGACTCTTCTTGCTTTTTTAACTCCCCAGAAGTGCATTGATATCTCTCCAAATCTTAAAAAAAAAAGTTGCCTTTGGAAATAATTGTCTCTACCTTTCGTTATTGTTTTGCCAGTTTTAGCTTTTAGCTGATGTATTTTATTTTATTTAGTTTATTGACATGCTAACTTTGGCTTTTAGTTAATGATCTGCTGGGCTTATCTTTTAGCTACTGTTCTTTTAAGTTTAGCTTCTAGCTACTGATTGTTGTTCATTTTTGGCTTTTGTTTACTTTTTTGCTCATTTTAGCTTTTAGCTACTGTTCCACTGGTTCTATTGTTAAGCTTTTTGTTTTGTTAGTCTTAGCTTTTAGCTATTGCTTTCTTTTTGTGGTTTTCTAATTTTGGCTTTTAGATAATGTTCTGCTAGGTTTATCTTTTAGCCACTGTTCTGTTAATTTTAGCTTCTAGCTACTGTTTGTTGCTCATTTTTGGCTTTTGTCTACTTTTTTTTTTTTTGCTCATTTTAGCTTTTAGCTACTGTTCCACTGGTTCTACTGTTAAGCTTTTGCTTGCTAGTTTTGGCTTTAGGCTTTTGCTAAATTTAGCATTTAACTATAGTTTTTCCTGTTTCAGATTTTAGCTTTGATTTCCAGTGGTAGCGTCCTTTGTCTGTTAAATTGTTCTACATGGCCATATGATACCACCTAATTTTGTTTTGATTTGTCATAATGGTTGTTAAATTAAAATAAGGAAGGAAAAAATGTAATAGGAAAAAGTGATTTATTTCTACTACTTAAAATACTGAGACTTATTGAAGAACAATACATGGAGGGTTTACAAACAAACAAAAAAAATCTAGATTTTAATTTTATTTTTCTGGGTCATAAACTTCATGAAGGGAGAAAAGGGGGAAGCATCGACCACGCCCCTTTAATGCTTTGATTGACAAGACTGCGCGATGGCTGGTGCGCTCGGTATGCCCCGACTCGCAAAACAAGCGCTCCCTCGCAGGCTAGTTTATGACCCGCCCCCGCGAACCAGAAACGGCAGAGCGTCAGCGTGTGTGACGAAAAGAGAAAGCCAGGCTGGAGCTGCCCTGGGAAGTCAGGAGTCTGCCAGAGTCAACGCAGAACAACGCCATTTCACCACAAGCTAAGGGAGCAGACAACTGAAGCCACAGGTATTCAGCGGACAGCTGTTTCCGCAGATGCTAACGTTGAATTCTTCCCGGAAACGCCGACAATCCCGGTGACAGCTCGGCTTCTCTCGTAGGCCTGGGAACGGCCCACAGCGGGGGGATGAAGCGTCAAACCGGGTCAGAGATTTCAACAGGAAGGCGCTAGCAAAAGAGGCCCGTCAGAGTGGCTGTCCACGCCTCCAGAGAGCCAAACTATTTCTGAAAATAACTGTTGGGCACTCGGTTGTATTGACGAGCATTAAATGCGTTTGAGTGGTCAGCTCGCGCTGTAGTTCAGATTCCTGTCGGCTAGCGCTGATGCTAGCTTTTAGTGTAGCACTCCAACTTAAAGAAGTGGTGACGAGCCTTCTCTTTCAACATGGGAACCACCTCTTGTGGCCACGTCCGGTCTCTGGTTGAACTTCGACGGAGAATCCCAATTGAGGAAGTGATGTAGTGGACATGCTCACGTCGTCTTCAAACGTGTGAACTATTATAGGAAGCTGTGTGGGCTGAGAGCATGTTCCGAGTTGGCGTCAGCCCAGCTGCCATTGTGGATCATGGCTGAAGATTTATGTTCAGCATGACCAAGCAAGCTAGGACATTTTAGTGCTCAGTCTGGAAACTGCACTCATTAAGTGCTGAGGTGGCGTGAATGAAATAATACCAGCCTGTCTAGCTGCTGTCGATTATTTCTGGTATTTACACTCAGGGATACTTGTGCTGCCAAACCCACGTCACACTGGTGACTAACACGTTGCCACTCCTAGTGACCTTAAGTCAGGTTACTTTGTTTTGTGGAACTAGCTCAGGTGCTAAGTTGACTTGACACTAGAGGGTAATAGAGGTCACTTGAAGAACCTTCATGGTATTAAAACATCAACAAAAAACCCAATCTTAAGTTTATTTGAGCTCAGTCTTTGTTTTGAATCAAGATAACTGGGACAGATCATTTTGAGCATTGGCTGCTGTTTGGACTTAATCCAGATCAAATCAAAAGAAACTAATTTAAATGGAAGAAGAGAAAAATATTGAGCACAAAGTTTAAGAAGGTATTATGTTAAAAAATAAACCAAATAGGGTTTTGCTATCACAAAATATAGTTTAATTAGCTATTAAAAGCCTGCTGATGAGTATGTGTATGAAGCAGATAATGACAATTTCAGACATTAATCATTAGTTGTACAACTATTCCTGATTTACTTTTAATCAGCCCCATTTGAAATTGAAGACCATAGCTAATTGGCCTTAGCCAACACAAATTTGGTTATAGTTCAGTCAGTTTTACAGATATGGAGCTAAAGTTTTGTGAGGTAGTAGCTGAGAGTCATCCCCAAACCATGCTCCATGCGTTAACAGATTGAGTTATATCTTCTTTAAAACTGGGCATTAGTACAACTGCTAAGAATGCTAGTTTCATATGTGGATTGTTGATAATATTGTTGTTTGTATGGAACAAGGACGTGAAATGATTGTTTTAAGCATAAGCGTAAGTTATTAGTTGTAAGCTGCTGGAAAGTTGTGCTTGAAAAGGCCTTTAGTTTGATTTAGGAAAAGTAGGAACCCTGTTTGTTTGAAACCTAGTAAAACTTTTCTTGACCAGTACTGATTTGTTAATGGTTTTCTACACACCCAGATCCTGTTACTGTGTACTTTGATAGCCAGAAAGTTGATAACGGATTATTATCATGTCACAATGCTTCCAACTTTTATCAGAAAAAGTTCACATTTCCTTCACGATGGTTGGTTCTTATCTTGACATGACCTTAACTTTCTGGATGCGCTATGCCCAGTTTTTATACTTCTGGTATTGTAATAATACAGTAAGATCATTTGAATGGGATCATTTTTTTAAAGCCTCAGTTGCTACAATCAGCTATAAACAAATGCTATCATCATTATAAGTCAAATTATGTGTCAACAAGCACATTTGTTTGTGGATTTGTGTCAGTAAAAATAGTTGACATGTTTTTTTTCTGGTTGTATAGCTGTTACTGCACGTCTACGTACCATTCGAGACTGTTTGCTTTTAAAGCATTGTTTACCTGTTAAGAAACATTGTCGTGGCCTTGTTTTCAAGTCCTGCCTGTGTTCAGGCCTGATAGTTAGGACTTGTCTGCCAAATCAGGAGGCCCGACAGCCAAGTGGGTAGATTCCGGGGAGCCAACAGCCCGAGAGGGCTTTGTCCTTCAGGCTCATTTTGATGCTGGAACAGGACTCGGGCTCCATAAGGAAATTCCTGCACCCTCCATGCTGAGGCCTGAAGCTGAAAGAGTAAAAGAACGAAGGAAAGCCTGAAACTTTTCCACCAGTTACTCCACCCATCCTCTATGTGGTTTAATGTTGTTTCAAGACAGTCACTTCTTTTATTGTTTAATCTAATCTGACAAGGAAGTTCCCAATAATATATCATAAAAGAAGTGTGGTTTTATGCGTCTTGGTTTGGCAGATTATGCATAATCTTAAAGGACTGTTTTGTTTTTATGCTGAATAGAAACATAGAGTTTTGGCATTAATGTATAACAGCTAATGATACCTTTCTCTAATGAGGCCAAAGGTTTGACACTGTGTAAAAAGCAAACGAATAATAATAACCCCGACATGGATTTGCACACAGATCGCACAATCAACATCTACTTGTCTGCTCTTGACATTCTTATGCGTTTGCCTCCAGCTGAAGCCGGCCGAAGCTGAAGGAATGCATGCTTTCTGTTGTCAAATATCACACAAACGTGTCTCAGAAGCTGAAGTGGAAAAACTTCAAGTCTTAGGCAAACTCCTCTTATCAGATGCTGAGGTCAAACAATTCAAGGTATTTAAAAATGTTGTACCATAGACACACAAAAGAAGTTGCTTAACAACAGAATGCTCCAAGTAGAGGCAGATGAGTCAAATATTGAGCTTGTAACAAACCTAATTTGTGTTTGTTGTGATTAAAAAAAAAATGGAAATAGAACCAACTCTTTACTATGGAGCTGAGCCCGTCGGTGCTCAGGAAACCCTGCAGTGGAAAGTTATTCTTAAATGTATTATCATGGGTAATCTCCTTAATCCAAATTACTAAAGAGGCCTGCTCTACGACACTGACTCCTACTCAGTATTTCTGCCACAGTTCTTGACTGGATTGTCAGAGCTACTGTGTTTTTGTTGACAACTCGGTGCTGATGTTGTCACTCGGGGCTTTAACTTGTCCTCATTATCAAAACACTGCTTTTACTTATTGTTAACGGGTGTATAATGTTGCACTGTATTATAGTTTAAAAGATATGCCCTCTTGATGCAACAATACTTGAAAGATGTTCTGTTTACTCCCTGCCAGCTCTGTTATCCACTCTGCCTCTGCTGTACCTGCAGCATCACCTTATTATGACAGAAAAACGTGTCATTTTCAGCTTAAAGGAAAAATATCTTTAAAAAAGGCTGTAGGCTCTGCTGTGTGCAGTGGTTCCATCACAGTTTGTTCTTACTTCGTAGCTTTGAGGAGCATCTGCAAACATGACCTCCTCACATATGTCTTTATGCGGGAAGAGGCCAAACTGCAGCAGTAGCTGATGGTAGCGACTAAAACTTTTTAAAATATGGGTTTAAACATCCCTTTATCCTGATGTGAATGAAGTAACTCTTCTTTTTCCTGCTTATGTCCGTTTGCATGTTGTCATTAACCTATTTTAGCCACTCTGACTGAAGTTGACAGCTTCAGTTCTTGGCTCATATCGTGACTGTTTCTCTATCTGGCTCCAACAGTTAATATTTCAGGTTGTGATGCATTTGCATTACGCTCATCCAGTTGTGATGAATTGAATTGCGCCGCTCAAGGTGGCTGCATGTTGGAGCAGCTCTGTTAAGTTCATTTTGAGATTTTGCTTTTGGAAACTCTAATTCCTCTTTTTCTGGATGTAAATCACATTTTTTGGATGGTTGTTTCCTCTGGTATCAGATGCTGTGCAGCTGGAAGGATTTTTACTGAAACTTTTTTAGTTTTGGACATTTGTTATGAGCGTAACCATGGCAACAAGGCTGTTTTCTACAACCAACAGCAGCTGATTAACATCTCAAAAGCTCAAATAATATCTCAACTACAGCCCCAAATCTCAAGTGAGTTGAAAAGGATGTTCTGTGGACGCATTCTCATCTACCTGCCAGCTGTGTTCGGGTGCCTGACCACTGAGATCCTGGAACTAGCAGGAAACACGGCTCGTGACAGCGGAAGGACAGGATCGTCCCTCTGCACCTACAGTTGGCTGACCGCAGTGACGAGGAGCTCGGCAGACTGCTGGGAGGAGTGGACATCGCTCTGGGAGGAGTTTTGCCCGGCATTCGGGCGGTTCTACAGCCCGAGGGGAACCGAGATGCCAGCTGAGTCTGGGTGGACGGATCAGACGGCATCTGCAGCCAGTTTCTTAGGATCCACTGTGGGATGGACCTTTACTAGAGATCCTTCCTGCCTACAGCCATCAGTATCTATAACATCTCTTAATGAAATGAGGATAACAAGTTACAACAACAAATATTTTCCCTCTGGGAGTAATAAAGTGTTTTTGAATTGAATTAAATTGAATTTTTCTCTGTGACCTTTTATAACATAAAGAGGATCTTAAGCTCTCTAGGACAAGTAATGTATAATTGGATTATATCTCTAGCAGAGGATAACGTCGGTTCTCATTTGCTCTTTTTTTGGTACTTGTAAAATCCCACACATGTATGGACACCAAAAAACGCAGCGGTTATATTTGCTCAAACCTCTGGCAGCTGTGATTGAATGTTGTAGTTTCTGATGGTTCCTGCTATAGCAGATGTACAGTAGGAGTTTCACAGGCTAAGTAGTCCTTTCCTTTGTTTTCCAGAATGGCGGTGGACATCTACGACTCTCAGTACCTTCTCATCCTGGCTCCAACCCTGGTCATCGCCCTCATGTTTCTTTTCTTCTGGCTCTTCATGAAGGAAACCTCTTACGATGAGGTTCTGGCCAGGCAGAAACGTGACCTCAAGCTGCCGCCAGCCAAAACCGACTCTCGTAAGAAGAACGAAAAGAAGAAGAACAAGAAGAAGGAGATCACGAGTGGAGGAAATAGTGGAGGTGGAGGGGAGTCTGAAGAAGACCTACTAGAGTTTGATTTGGTTGATGGTGTCGGCTCGAGTCTGGAGGCAGAGGAGGAACCTGTGCTGGAGATGACACCAGAACCTGCTCCTCCAGCACTTGCTGCCAGTGTGCCCGTTTCAGCCTCACCAGAGGCTCCTACTGGTCTGAGGGAGCGAAAGAAAAAGGAGAAGAAGGCTGCCAAAGCTGCTGCTGCTGCTGCCGCTGCATCAGCAACTGCCTCAGCAACTGCCTCAATCTCAGAGGAGTTGGAAATAAATGACTCCAAGCCAGCCAGTCGCAAGACGGAGCCACCTCAAGCTGTAAGCAAACAGTCAAGCTCACTGTCTTCACAGTTTGAGGTTCACGTTCAAGCTGTTCAGACTCCTGCTCAGGCTCAGACACCTCCCCAAACCTCTGGGAAGAAGGAGAAGAAGAAGAAACAGAAAGCAGAGTCTGGTATGTACTTAGGACTGGGTGTGTCTTTTCAGGAAAACATGACTTGCTAATAAGCTTTTTATATTTGGTCAGTATTTTTATCAACAGCAACTAGTTTTTGAAAAATGTGGAGATAAAACCATTATCCCTTCACACATTTAAAACAGTTATACCAAAAATGTATGAATAATTTAATACTCTTTAGGCACAAGGCAGGCTGCCTAAAACTCCCGTCTTCTCTGCTGACTTGTCCCATTTCAGTCGAAGTCCAGCAGCAGGAGGTGAAAGCAGAGCAGGCCCCAGCACCAGTCAAAAAGGAACCCCCCTCTGTGGCTGAAACCAAAGTACTGGACGGTGCAACCCCAATTTCCACCGGTGGCAAAAAGAAGAACTCTGCAAAGAAGCAGAAGACCGAGCCTGGTAATGATGATAATGATCAATCAATATCAAATTCAAAAACAGCTGTCTGCTTCTCAAAGACTTTCGGATTAAGATTAAGGTCTCTTTGTTTGTCATCAAATCCAGTAGAAGAAACTCACATTTTGGCAGATTTGGCAGCTTCTGCCAACCACCAGACGGTCCATAACGATGACGTTCCATCTAAAGGATCTGGCAAGAAACAGAAGAACGAGACTGAAAAAGGTAAGAAGTTATTTTTTTTCCTTTAACAATGACGTCTTCCTTGAGTGGATGTGTTTGTTCCTTCAGCTGATAAACCTTATCACCGATATGTTTACTGGTCTATAGTTCAGATGCTGTGAGTCTGAATACAAAACACATTATGAAGTTTGATGGGCTTGTACCATAGTTAAAACGTTCCATTTAAGTACAAACCTTTTACATATAATGCTTTAAAATTGACTAAGTTTTGTTGTGTGAATTAACAGAGAACCCAGAGATGAAGGTGAAGGAGCTGCTCTCTGGTCTGTCCAGTGTGGCTCTGTCAGAAGCAGAAGCTGTCAGTGTGATCGCTCTCCTCCGAGAGAAGAGCCCTAATGCCTTGGATGCCTGGCACAAAGTGAGGGATTATTAAGTTGTAAACTTGAGTTAGGTGTTGTGACAAATGACATGTCACACTATTTATCACTGGCAGGAGACCTGGTGTTTGTACTTGAACTTTTACTGCCTTTTAAATCTCCCGTCTCTCACTCCCAGTCTGCAGTTAGACCAGATCCAGCTGCCCAGGAACGAGAGAAACGTCTTACAACTCTGCAGGAGGAAGCTTCTATTGCCAAAGACAAAGTGAAACAGCTCAGTCAGGTCTACATTCCACTCTTCTATTTATTGTTTAAAATTTTCAGCCGAGTTATTGCATTACTGGTTTAATGGTTTTTTTAATTCCAGTGAGAGACTTCACATGCTTCCTTGTTTTTTGCGCTTTAGGAGCTTCAGGTAGAGAAGCAGAAGGCTGGAAGAGTGGAGGCTATGATGAGAGAGCAGCGTGCAGCCATGGAGAAAGAGCTGGGGGGCATGCAGGCCAAAGCACAAGGCAGCTACCAGGAGCTGCAGACCATGCAAATCAAGGTGAAGGTTTCATTTCTCGTCGTTTCAGTTTGTGCTAGTTAAAATTGAACCAAATAGCTTTTTCGTGAATAATTTTGTAGAGCGCCTGAATGAAACATGTTGTCTTTGTGCAGTTCCAGCAGGTGAGGGAGCAGCTGGAAAGCCAGATCACTCGGCTGCAGCAGGAGAACGGTATCCTGAGGGATGCAGTCAGCTCAGCCACCAACCAGATGGAGAGCAAGTCAGTGTTGCATCACTCTACCAAACTCTCAAATGTTAACATCCAGAGCAACCTAGTTCATGTCAAAATGTATCTTTTTAGTACTATATTACCTTTTGTAGCAGATATTCTTTTGAATACCTTCATGTGTTTCTGTTTAAAAGCACCAAAGTATTTATAACTTGCTTCTTTGACATAATGCCTCATCGTTCATTTGCATATCATGTTTCTGGCAGGAATTCAGCAGAGCTGAACAAGCTGCGTTCTGAATATGCCGGTCTGATGAAAGAACTGGCAGACAACAGCAGCAAGCTGCAGCAGGAGGAGCACCAGAGGAAGTCACTGGAGGTCGGCTACAAGCAAAACGTGTCCCAGCTGGAGGTACGCTCATCCAGATGCACATTGTGTACATTTAGCTCGTGTTTTGCTATCAGCTGAGAGAAAAAATGAGCAGAGTTTCATAGACTTGGGTGTGCCACGTAGCTTCAAATCTGCTCTGTGGGTGTGGTGGTGTTACTGGGGAAAAGAAGGGGGGAAGCTGTGGTAAAAGACCCAAGGAGGACTGTGGGAAACACAACCTGAGATGGGAGGGTTTGTTGTCTTAGGAAGCTGGAATGTTTGAAGCTTTGTGCTGCGTATAAACAGCACTTTTCCTGCTAGACTCTCAGCCCTTCCTGTCTTTTATAAAATACAAGGTGGACATTTCTGCTCTTGGCTTGACAAAGACATGTCTCTGCAGGAAACATCAGAGCAATATCAAGCGTGCAGTTGCTAAGTCTGTTAATGAAACCATCTTCAAGGCGTTACATAATCTAGGTTCACTATTAGAAAGGTTAAAAATAAAAATCTCAAAATTTTTAACGACGACGTATTTAAGCCACCTACTGTAAGTCATATTAGTTTGTGTAACTTGTAGAAGAGTCATGGGTTTCTTCATCTCCAGGCCCAACTACAAGATGCAAAGCGACGCTGGGAAGAATTGCAGAACTTCCTCCACACAGTCAATTCTGAAAGAGAAAAACTTCAGACCTCTAAGCAGGGTGAGTAAACACAGCGAGACTGAAAAGCTTTCGCTGTGTGAAGTCAGTTCAGTGAATGAGGATTTCTTCTCGCAGAGCTTCACAGCCAGATGCTGACAGTGGAGGCAGAAATGAACAACAAGAACAAGGAAATCCAGACGTTGCGCAGCAGCCTGACTGAAGCGATGGTCTCCAAGGAGCGGCTGGAGCAGAAAGTGATGGAGCTGATGGAGATTTCTCAGCACAGTATGCAGGACGACAGTCTGCAGACCCAGGTTCAGGTGAGGCACTGCAGAACCTCGTCTAGTACATCTTTATTGTACTGTTTAGAGTGAAAGTCATAGCAAGAAAAAATGGTTAAATATTCAAACCTGCATTAAGATGGAGCATCATAAAGAGAGCAATAGTCTCCTAATACCTGTTTTAATAGGAACTCGTGAATGAAAATAAAGCTCTTCAGGTTCAGAAGGAGACATTGCAAGTCCAGAATGAGAGCCTGCAGGCCCAGATGTCTTCACAGGTATGGGTCAACTTCACCTCTCTTTGTTTAAAAGCAAAATCAAATCTGTGCTATGTAGGCTAATGAGATTTCTCTGTTCTACATTTAGGCTGCTCATGTGTCCCATATTGAGGAGCTACAAATGCTGTAAGCAGGATTATATTTTCACTGCATCAAGTGATTCTGTTGGGCTTTTTTAAATATAAAATATGACCTTGCTTCTCTTTTGACTGTTTTTGTTCAGATTGGCTGAAAAGGAGCTGCAGCGGAAGAGTCTGGAAGATTCTCTAAATGCTGAGAGAAGCAGCGGGGCTAGTAGAGAAACAAACATGCAGGTGTGTTTTAACAGAGAGCCTCATCTGCAGCTTCGTTTGGATTTACAAACGTACTCAGCCAGGCTGGAGAGAGATGTCAAATGTACTTTATTTCCTCTCCGTGTAAAATCATCAGAGCGGAAAACTTTACGTCTTTTAATCTTTCAGGCTTTGCACAATGAGAACATGTCACTGAAGGCAGAGAATCAGAATCTGCAGGCACAGATTACTGATCAGGTTAGCTCAAAATCTTTTTTTTTTTTTTTTTTTACATGTGTTTAAACAGTTTTGTGTTTTTCTTGTTTAACACTCCTCTTTTCTGTAGAATGCATCCCAGCTGGCTTTGGACCAGTTTCAGAAGAGGTGGGTGTGTAAACTGGATTACGTTTTCAACACGCACGTCTTAATCAATGAGACCAACTATTCCGATATTTAAAAACCAAATGGTTTAATCAAATGCCGTTTCCTCCCCAGTGTCCGAGAGAAGGAGGAGAACATTAAAACGGTTGAGGGACTTTTGGAGAAGGGGCTGATTGAAGTGGCCAACAAGGAAGAGGAGCTCAAGGTTCAGTAGTCTTTCTTCATAAAAGAACAACCAAAGTGTTCTGCCTCACACACAACCACATGACAATGTCAGTATCATTTACTTGAGTACATTATATTCTGTTTTTTCTCAATGCAGAAAGTCAAAGAAGAGAATGAAGTACAAAGACAAGAGATTGAGGATCTAAAGAGAAAGACAGCCGAACAGGTGACGTCTAACATTACTGTTATAAGGGTTTCAGTTTTTTTGTATTGTTCCTATAGTATTTATATAGTTTCTTCTTTCTCATTAAAGGAATCATCAGAGTTAATACTGGGAGAACTGCAAACCAAGTAAGATTGCTAAAGTTAATGCTGGTATTTCTGTGATGCAACAAGTTATCAGAAAAAGGCTTATTTCTCCACAGTTCTTTCAGGACTTACAATAGCTCCTTTCAAGAGTGCATTCCTATTCTTATTAACCTGAATGGAACTGAACATTTTGTCTTCGAGGCTAAACCCTGGTCTCGTTTGCGTAAAAGTTGCAACAGCAATCCTATTAGGTCGGTTCTAGCATCGCCAACAAGTGCACAATGTTTAGTCTTGCAAACGCTACAAATATGTATGTAATATGTACTGTCGGTGTCACGTTTGAATAAATTCACGAGAAACTTTAACCTAATGTCTGAAAAACAAAATGACACCACTGCTTTAGAGATTGTACACATTCTAGGTCTGGAATAGGCTTAACACATACATCCAGACCTGTCACGATAACAAATTTTGCTGGGCGATTAATTGTCTCGGAAATTATTGCGATAAATGATAATATTGTTTGGAGACCATTTTAAACTAATGTAATGATAATGACATAATAATGGAAGTACATCCTCTCAAAGATCAATAAACATTCATTTCAAAAGAACACAACACTGAAACTGAAACACAAAATAAACAAAACAGCCCAAAATAAAATGGACTCTGTCTTCGTTAACAAAAAATACACTTGAATAAAAAATAAATACAACAAAAGAAGAAAAAAAAAAACTATTCAACCAAAGCGGTTTGGATTATGAAGTCTGTAAACTAAATTGCCTTTCAAAAACTAATAATCATTAGTTTTATATAAAGAAGACGGGCAAAACTGCCAGTTTTATAAACAAAATGTGCAAACTAACAAAAGCACACTGAATTTAAATAAGAGCAGATGCCTCAACAGTCCATAAGCAGATCTGTAGCTACTTTAGTCTGGCAGATTCTGAGCAAGAAACACCAACACGTTGAGTTTTTATTTGTAGTTTTGAGTTACTGTTCTCCTTAATCATTTGTGCGTTCGTATGTAAAATTATTTCCAGTGCACATTAAAAGACAACGGTCTTAATTAGATTCTATAGTTATTCTACAGGTCTACATGTTATTGCTACATGCTACTGTGTTATGACAAATGCGACACACCGGCTCGCAAACGTTCAGCGGTTCGTCTCGGTCATTTGGTTTGAATCCGAAGTGCTCCCACACACTGCTGCTGTTGCCTTCAACTCTATAAACCAATTCCATCTCGTTTTTTTTCCCCCAGTATCAAATAGCGTTTCTTTAGCTTGCTAACTCCTCACGGGGCTTTAATGCTGCAGAGCTACAAGACGATGCGCCTGGGCTGGCTACCTGACACGATGGTTCACTCCCCCCTTACGCTAAGAGTTGAGCCTTTTGTCATCCAGAGTCTTCAGTAGAAAGAGAGACACGAAGAAACCATAAAGCTGATAAATGAAAATCGACCTCATTTTAATTAATCATGTGATTGATTTATTGTTCATCACAACAGGCCTACGTACATCTGATTTCAGTTTCAGTAACTATAAACAATAAGTCACGCCGGTCTTTTACGCGTGCATTAAAAGTTATTAAATAAACATTAAAAAACAAACAAATTTAAAAAAAAAAAAATTTAAAAAGTATCTGCCGCAACTTGCAATAACATGTTATGCAACGGCTGTAATTTGTGATTGTACTGTAAACACAAAAATCTACCCAGAAATAACTCTTTAGCTGATTGTCATTTTTGGCTGTAATTTAAATTACTGGATCATAACCAGGCCTTAAAACTTAACACACTTTCCTTCAAATGAGATAAAGGATGGCCTGTTCCATCTATGCATCCATTTTGTTTACCCACTTTTCTTTTTCGGGTTGTGGGTCACTGGTGCCTATCTCAAGAAGTCATTGTGTGACACCCTGGACGGATCTCCAGTCCATCACTGGGCCACATGGAGACAAACGAGACAACCATTCATACTCACCCACGCGTAGGGACTATTTACATTAGCAAATGAGCCTAACACATGTTTCTGATCTGTGGGAGGAAACTTAAGTACCTGGAGAAAACCCATATGTGCACGAAGAGAACATGTAAACTACAGCCAGAATGGCCGACAGGCGAACCTGTGACCTGGTTGGTGAGAACGGACCACCATTCCAGTGTCACCTTGCATTGCATGTAGCATTATATTAATGTTTGTCGCAGTACTTTCAAAGCTAAGCACACAGTTCTAGCTTTCTGCAATAAATAAATAAATAAATTGAAGCTCCTGTGAAGCATGGTGGTAGAAAGTTCACGTCTGAGCTTGATTTGAAGTCGCAGAACTTTAGTACCTTGCAGTCCTTTAGTTGATCATAAATTCCTTAGTTTACCAAAGTATTCTTGAGTCAAATGTGAAGGGTCAAATGTGAAGGGACAGCTGAAGTTTGGCTGAAACAGTGCCATGCAAAAGATCCATCAGCCTGAACAAACAGGCAATTCTACACCACAATGGCTGAAATGTAGAATCTGCAATAATCCAAAGTCCGGACCTCAGACTGACTGAAAATCTGCAGCTTGATCAGAACAGAGCTTTGCGTAAACAAATATCTACATTGAACTAACCAATGTTCCTCTATATTGATTTAAGAGACCCATAAGGACTAATATAATTACTTGAAGTTAGTGCAGCTAAAGATGCTCCTGCAAGGTAATAAAGTAGTACTATAGTATTTCACCTACAAAAATAATTAGAAATCATCTTATTGGGTTGTTTCTGCTACGAATCGCTTGGTTTTATTTTGTTCAGGCGAGTAAACCGTTAATATTTGTTGTATTTGCTTAGCAGAGTTGTGTTTTTGCTGTTCTGTGTAGGATCCAAGAAAAAGATCAGAAGCTGAAGTCACTGGAGGAGAGTCTGCAGGCAGAACAAGCCAGTAGCTCCACCAAAGACCAGACTGTTCAGGTGTGGGATTTTGCAACTGAAGTGATGAGTTTTTAGCCAGCCGTCGTTATTCTTGTGCTCCTTTCCTTTTTAAAAGCCCTTAAATGAAATAGTTTGTCTCCTAGACTCTGGAACAACAACTGGCTGCCCTTCAGTTGGAGTTGGAACAGCTGAGAAACGAGGAGACGCAAAAGGAGTCGAGCAGATCTGACGCTGAGATCCAAATGTTCCAGGCTCAGTAAGTCAGCGCCGCGCTTCACTCCGAAGCTCATTTCCACCCTTCTGTAATGTCAGACGGTTAACGGGCAAATCTGAATCTCAGACTGGCAGTAAAGGACCAGGAAATTCAGGTGCTGCAGGCTAATCTGGAGGCAAGAACAAGGGAAGTGAGAGAGATGGTGGAGCAGGTACAACAACAGGTGAGGATAGATGTAACCGAGACTTTAAGTAGACTAACCCTGTCTCAGATTGTTTTTAAATACTTATTTCTTCTTCCATTCTACTTTATAGCAGTCTAACACTGCGGTGCCAAACCCAGAGCTGCTGGCAGAGTACGTAACCATTATTCCCATCTATGTTTTCATTTATATTTCATTGTACAGTATTACTATGCTTTGCAGAATAACAAATGGTTCTGCTGGTGTTTGTCAGGTTGTCTGAGAAGGAGAAGCAGGTGTGCAGTCTGCAGGGTGAACTGGCTGAGCTGAAGGAATCACTGGAGCTTCACAGGAAAAAGAACAATGTAGGTTTTCTGCAGCGACGATCGGATCTGTGACCACCGGCACATCTGCTCTCTTATGGGAAATCACCCTCCGTTTTTTGTGTTGCCATTAAACATTCCCCTCTCACAGGGTTGCATATATCCTTACACCCCTGCTGTCCACTGCTGCTTAGCCTCACTCGTTTTGCTTTTTATTCTAAACAAATATATTATTATTTTTAGCCCAGGTATGCTGTATAGCAAAGGGTGTGTGTGCAGCAGAATGACACATTAGTACCAGTATCTGTTGTGCTTTAACTTCACTGAGCATTGCATAAGACGGCTTCCAGCCCCCTCTTACGCTCGCCATTCGTTGGCTGGTGCTGTTTCGGCAAGCTTGTTTGTGCTTGTGGGGGATTCAGAGCATTAGAAACTCATCCTTTATCTTCCAAATAGATATTTATTACTAGGAGATTGAGTGTAATATTACTAATGGCAAAGATACCCTGTGATTGTAAGTTATTTCATTCTATATTTTTCAAATTGTGTTTGTGTATTTACACACAAACATTGTGAGGCTGTGAATTTAGAGACATTTCTCCACGTTTATTTTGAAGCACGGGTGGACAGCAAAGGAATTTAAAAATAAGGAATGCGTCCAGATTGTTCTGTCCCGCTAACCGCCTGTATTTAGGGGTCACATTTTCCTTGAGGCTGAACTGAACGTAGTATCTCTCTGGAACTGACCAAAACAGGAGCTTCGGGAGAAAAACTGGAGTGCAATGGAAGCTCTGTCAGCCACCGAGTCCATGCTTCAAGGAAAACTCAGCAAAGTCGTCAAGGTTCGACACCTCACCTCAGTCTGCTTCACTCTAGTTCCAATCTGATGCATTCCCCTCCAAAATGCTGTGTTTTGTCATAATCGACCCTGTGACATTTCTTTTTTTTTTCCACCATCATCCACAATAATAATACTGCATACTCATTTACCTTTTTCCACTTGTTTTGCTTTGCCTTGAATTTAATTGGCTTCGTTTTGAGCTGTTGAACCTGTTAACTTCTTCAGATTTTTAAGACTTGAACAAATACTGATGCCCTAAGGGTTTAGAGATTTTTTATTTTTTTTAAAGATTTCTCTTTGCCCAACGCTCAAGCTAACCCTTGGAAATGAGTGTGCAGTGACATAGACGTTTGTTAGATGTCATTAGATTGAGATTCATGGTCATTAATTCTACAGCTTCCTGTCTTTTTGTTTCTTGGCATGGCATGTTTTACCCAAACGGTCTATATTACCAACTAATCAAACACTTTTGGATCATTTTTTTAAGGAAGTTTAAATATTCAAAACCTTGAATCAATATATAAATCTACAACAGCCCTGCAATGTTTCTTAATGCTCTGTTCTCACAAAAGAAACAGCTTTGAGGTCCACCGGGACAATCGAGTGCAGAATCCACTCAACATTTCCTGCAGCTGTGCATCTCCTCGTGTAGTCGGCAATCAGATAGTGTTCTATTAACAGTTGGACTGAGATGTGTGTATTTTTGCCACCCTCCTCCTACATTAGGTAAGGGTAAGCAGCTGCTCGTCTATCACTTGAGTACATTGAAAAGCGCTTCCACTAATCTGAGCTGTGGAGTCTTGCTTTGCATCCCTGTATGCGTGCAAATGAAAGTGAAGGTGAGACATCGTTTACCTCAGCGACTCGAGATGTAGCCGTTTGAATTGATTGGGGAGTCTTGATTCGATCAGCTGATTGATTTCAATCATAACTGGAGTTTTAAGAGAACTGCTTGTATGACCTCTGGATACGGAAACGGCTCCGTCTGAACCGATTATTCAGGGAGTTCTGTCTCTTTCTTTTTGTACATTTGACCTTGTAGGAGAGTCAGGCAGCACTGGCAGGATCTCAAGCGGAGTGTCGAGACGTTCTGCACAGACTTCTGCCCCATGTGCCTCTGCCCTCTGAACAGGTATCTGTTGAACTGAATTTGTGCCTTTAGGCAGATTTTTTGTTTGGAAACAGGATTCATTGGTTGACTTGGATTTTCTCCACAACTGTCCACCAGAATCATCAGGAGTGGCTGCAAAGGTTTGAGAGCACAGTTGCTGAAAGTTTAGTTGCACAATCCAACCAAACATCAGGGAACTCTGAGGTAAAGAGAAAAACAGCCAAACGTTATTCCTTTAAATACTTGTGTAAGTAAATGTTTTTCTTCTTGTAGGAACTGGCTGTAAAACTGAAAGAAGCTGAGGAAAGCCAAAAGGTTCTACTAAAAGACTGTGAGACGTATAAGAAAGTTTTGGCAGAGACGGTAAGAGATTTTCTTAAGTCCCACTCGTGACTAAAGTGGTCTTTTAAACTGAGCTGTCATTCCTGCTGTGTCCACAGGAGGGCATCCTGCAGCGCCTCCAGAGCAGTGTAGAGGAAGAGGAGTCCCGCTGGAAGTTGAAGCTGGAGCAGTCCCAGACAGAGCTTAAAGAGGTCCAAATTCAGAATGACTGCATTCTGTCAATATACATCAAAAACATATTTAATCATCATGTTGTGCAATAATGATATTTATATTTCTGCATTGCGATTGTGCTCTTTAGGTGAGGAGAGAAAAGCAGCACTTGGAGTCTGAGTTGGAGAGGGCGGAGCGGGAGAGCGCCATCTATGTGACAGAAGTCAGAGAGGTGAGGAGGAACTGGATCTTTTCACCAACAGTGTTTTATTTATTTATTTTTAGTCATGTGTTCCTGTGGCCAAAGCACGAGCTCTGTCGTTTAATTCATTTGGAATCTGGTGCAAATGAAATTCACACAGTAGACGTTTAGAAGATTATTGACCTTTCTATCCTGCACATGGGTGTCCTTTGCAAGAAAATGTTCTTGACCGGCACATTGGATCATTTCCACTCATGCACAACAGGAGGCTGTTCCTCGTTTATCATTACATGGCTCTGCCAGAGTAAAAGCAGTCGGTGTGCATAGACGCCTCATGACCCGATCAGCATAGTTAAACCGGTAGCGCTGCCCTGGATCATCTCCCGCAAACGCTCATTAAACAACTTCATCTCAAACTTAATTTCAGCTCAAAGATCTGTTGACTGAACTGCAGACCAGACTTGATGGCTCATATACAGAGGCCATCAGGCAGAATGAGGAGCTGACGTTGGTAAGCATGGATCCTCCTCTAGCTAGAGCTGCTTTAAACTCTGTCCCATGGCTGCCACAGGACGGGGTTCTCCAGCCTCTGCAAAATTTCTCATCTTTCATAACTTCTCTACACGTGGGGTCACATGCTGGAGCCACTAACACAACTTTGTAAATAACGATATTGTAAAAGGATGATTCACCTTGACGTGCACTGATACTAACGCTGTTTTTCTACTTTTAACCATGTAGAACTTGGCTTACAAGTCAACTTATTCTCTCAGAAGTGGCCAAATAACTCACTTCAGTCTTCAAACAAAATCTGTTTTGTCTTGCAGTCTTTTGATAACTGTTGTTGGGTGTTTCAGTGGTTATCACAGGAACGTCAGCAGCCAGACCTAAAGGTTGTGTTCAGACCAGCAATGGCACTATCAGAAGTGTGACCTCCTCCTTTATAACGATACAGGATTGTTGAACTTTTTTGCAAGCACCCATGGAGAGTGCGTTTACCTTTTGAGAAAGAACTAAAAGTACATTTCTGTCAGCTGCTTTGTGCAGTGAGTGATGTAATCTGTGAAATGTAATTTATTTGATGCAATTATCAAAATGGAACCTGAGGAAAATAAAAAATTGCATCTGTTGCATCTGAGAGGACTTTCCAGATGTGAAATCTTTTTTTTTTTTTTTTTTTTTTTTAGAAGCATTTTAAACAAAAGTACATTATTGTTGAAGTCGTAACAGAGTCTGTGTGTTACTCAAGCTGGAATACCTAAAAAGTGACTCATCGTTTTACTTCTTCCTGTCACAGCAAGCATAGTCCGATTCTGGATTTGAACACAACCTTAACAGAACATGGTATACTGAGAAAGTTCTGTCAGATTTAAGCTCTCTTAAATGTCTTTTTTTATTTATTCATTTTTATTCCAGCTAAAAACTCAGCTCACCAATACGGTTTCAAAGTTGGAGACGGAGGAAAACGAGAGGCAAAGGGTGGCTGGTGACCTCTATAAGGTAGGAATCACAATTTGTAATTTATGCCACTGTCGTTCCAGGTAAACTGCAGCTTGTATGTAAATGAACTTTCTCACCCTTTATTTAGGCTCAGCAGTCTCTTGATCTGATTCAGGGTGAGCTCTCAAAACTAACCGACAAAACCGATGACCTGATAGAGAATAGCAGTCCGTCGTCGGAGCACGTAAGAATCTGGGGCAACTTTGGGAGCTTTTGTCAGTATTCTTGCTTTGTAATAGAACAGTCAATGCTCCAACATCTCTGTTCTTGTGTGCCTTACAGGAAGAGATTGACAGAAAAGAGAAAATGACTGCAGGACTGAATCAAACTGTCAGAGAAATGCAGCAGCTGCTCCAAGCAGTCAGCCAGCAGCTCACTAAGGGACAGCAAGGAGTGAGTTGTCACATGCAAAAAGATGAAATTGTAACACGATCTTGTTTTGTCAGCTTGCTGCTGTAGATTTGAATGTGACGACTGAGCAATTCTGTTTTCCCTTCAGGACATGAACCGAGATCTCCCTAAGGTATAATGCAAGGTGGACGAGCACCATGCAGCCAGCCCAACTGCACTACAGAGACCACCTTTAGACATCGATCCTGTCACTACCACACCATACCATCACACCCAGCCACCTCCTCCCTCCCTAACTCCCATCACCTTACCTGTACTGTAGGCATCCTTCTGCCCGAGGGGCTGGTGAACCACTCCCAGACTCGGTGTTGGCCACAGAGCGTCAAGCAGAGGTTACTGCCCTGTTCCAGAAACGGTACCTAACTCCTCCACTCCAGCCACATTCCTCCTGTTTGCGGCATCACGTTTATTTGACTCCATACTTCCTGCTTATTTAAACTGTGTGGAAACCATTCCTCTGTTTTTAAATCACCTGTATTTGTTCTCTCTAATGAAATCCTTCTGAATACTGCAGTAGTGTTTTTTTTTTTTTTCTTAAGATACAAATTTCAAACTTAACTATATAAAATCTGGGTTTTCAGTATTTTTCTTAACTTAAATTAATATATATATTGTTTAAATGTACCACTTAGGACCTGCTGAAATTCTGTGTTGATCTTTTTATTTGCCCTCTGATCAGAAAACTCAAACTGTATATTTGTCATGCATCGTTCCGTGCATACCTCGGCTCAGTTCTGGCTGGGAAAAGGGAGATTGTAAGAGGTCTCGGCATGTTAGATGGGTGACTAAATATGGAGATGCAAAAACAAACCATAGGAAAGTTTGTCCTGCAGCTCTGAAGAAAAGGGGGTTTCTGACCTTGGATGTGCAGTTTAGAGGTTTTTAATCCTACTGCAAACACTTTAAAAACAAGTGTCCCATCTCCTGTGTATTCAGCACTTGCTACGTCGTTGCTACGTTCATTAACACTGAAGATTCTGTTCTTTTTGTAACAGGTGACAATAAAAGGGATACTTGATAAATCTTTATCTCTTGCCCTCTTTCTCTCGACCACAGTGAGGCAGCACACCACTTTAGTTTGTTTTACATTTGTGTCATAGCTTTGAAAAACCCTGAATGTGACATTTCAGGACTTGCATACTTTTTTGCTTGCAGGTAAATTTGATTTGGGAAACGCAATCTTTTTTTTTTTTTTTAACGCTGTCTTATTTTAGGCGAAACAGTGAATCTCTTGAACAGCCTCCGCTATGGAACATTTTGGTCAGGAATGTTTTCCTGTGACGCTAACATGCTACATATTTATACTCGGGAGAATTTAGAAAATATTTTGCTCGGGCAGAAAGACGGGGTGAGACCTGCTGCAATATACAAAGGATTAATTTGTGTTGCTGGAAAATATTAAAAGATAAAATCTGAAAGTAGTTGAAAGCAGATGTTTACATGCACTATGAAAACATTCCTCATTAAATCAGACCAAACCTTAACTGTGTTGGCACCAGATTCCCATAATTCTCTTTAAATACCCGATTTTTAAAATTTATTTATTTTGTGCAAAGTCACATATTTGCACACTAAGGTTGCTAAAAGCCTGAGAATACCATTCTATCTGTAAAGCATAGGGGTGGCAGAATCATGTTTTGGTGAAAGAGAAGCTGGTGCACTTCAAGTAGACGGCACCATGTGGACAAAACATGGAAATATTGAAGCATCTTTTTGGCTCAAATGTGTTTTCTAAATAGACGAGGACCCAAAGCACTCTGCACACTTTACAAAGTGGACAACTTGCTGCGTTTTGGAGTGACGATCTCACAAAACCCTGATCTCAATCCTATTCCAGCAGCTCCGTCAGGAGGAATGGGACAAAATTCTAGCAAACTGTTGAGAAGCTCATGGAAGGAAAGACCCAAGTAGCTTTTTAAAAGGCAATGCTACCAAACGCATGCAAACGCTAAAATTCTCTAAAAAAAATCACACAAAAACAATTTTAGGAATTGTAACTGACCTAAAACAGGAAATATTTAGTCCTTAGTATGTAAACATCTTGTAAGCCCCTAATAAAAGGCTTATAAACTTATGAATATATTTTTAGATTAATTATTTGTACCCTTTATGGTTGTGTGAGTATACAAGGGCTGATGTTGCATTTATGTGTAGAGAGCCTGTCTTGCATTTTAAAAAGCCTTTTGAACAACAAGACTGTTGTGCTGCCTGAGAGGGCGTGCGTTAGTATGCGTGTGAGGGAGGGGAGGGGGTGTCGGGTCAAGAGCACGAGCGACATGGGATCAGCACATTCCTCACATTCTCCCACACTGTCATGCTACAGTCAGCTGATTGGAGATCTGGTTTTTGCTTTCATCGAAAACTCGCGACACGACTCGCACCTCAGCATCTCCAATGTGTCTGCAGAGACTGATGGAGGCTGCTGAACGGTGTTGGCACTAAAGGAGATTTGTTTTCAACCTGGTTTGAAAAAGAAAATGCAAACATTCAAGGCATCTAAAAATGTGCATTAAAACTGCCCCACTCGTTTTTTTCCTTACACCGTATTCGTCACTCTACAGGTTAAAGACAAAGATTGTAGAATAAGAGGATCCAGCAGGCTTTCAGATATTTGATGTGCAAAGCACGACAAAGCAAACTGGAAGTTTGAGGGATTTTCCATTTCGTTGCCGTCATTGTTTACAGTCTTTGTGGTCGTGGTTGTGCAATGCACCCATATAGAGTAGGCTCTGCTGTGCATGCGTCTTGTCTGGTAACAGTTGACTCCACCTCTTAAACACAGATTTACGCTCCCGCTACGCCAGCACAACTTCAGCAAAGCAGCCCACTCCCTGCATCTGCTCTCCATCAGTGTGGTATGTGCTGGTGAGCCTTTGATCCCCACCCACCCCCAACTTTTCTGTGTGTTTGAGTCAGACAGATGTAAAATAGAAAAAAAGAAAAGCTCTTGTTTAAACAAAGACAATGCCCAGAGGATGAAAGCAAGGCGGAAAGAGTGACACAAAGGAGCAGTAAATATTCATATGACCCACAGCATTAACCATTGCAGTTATAGGCCTAATGCTATAGGTGATGTTCACACATCTGTGCTATTAATGGACAAACGTGCAGATTTTAACAGAATTGACCAATCCACAATTTCTGAGTGAGCCTTACTGTATGGTACAAGCTGAAGAACAAAAGGGGTGGGGATGCAAATGCCTTCATGGACCCTGGTGACCCCTTACTACCTTTTGTTTTTGTGTCAAGTGTTATTGCACTTTGAAACCGAGCACTAGTTCAAACAGAGGGCCATAATTACAGAGACAGCGGGGCCACTTAAGGGGCCTGGGGCAGTGGTAACACCTCCAGTCATGCAGGTTCTTGTGAAAACAAGAAGGAGGCAGTAAAGTGTTGATGAGACTGCTTGACGGGGGGAAAAGTGGAAAAGTGGGACATTCATTGGGAAGGCGAGAGAACAACCAGACATGTGGGATACTGGAAAAGGTGATTGTGAAAGCCAGAGGTCATCAACATCCTCATATATCATCTGACATCCTCATAACAGGTCTCTCTTGTAAATGAGTCCTTGTAAATACTAATCAATTTTCAGCATGAGCTGTATAAATCGACAATAAAATCCTACTTAAATAAATAATTTAAAGAGCTCAAGTTCACAGACAAAATGAGGAAATCTGATTTCACAATTTTTTACTCACTCAGGTTTCCCCACCACGTTTCCAAATCAAAATAAATGCATATATTTATGTTCTTCAAAAGTCAAAAGCATTGTAAAACATTATTTTATCCTATAATGTTGATATAAATATATTAGGACGAAAAACGGTGAGTTAAATAAAGGACAAAATGAAAACAAACAGAGAATTTTAAGATCCCTTGTTTACATAATAGAATGTACCATTCGTAGAGTTTACGAGGGTGGGTCGAAAAAAAATTACATTCTCGCTTCGATTTTTATAGAGATTCGGTGTTAAATCGAATTAAAACGGTCTAATCTAAAAGTCTTCGATTATAAATAACATCACTGTTGCAAAATTTGCCCAGAGACAACTGTATCAACAAAGAGCTGTTGGGAAGACTCCCCTACAGAAAGTGTTGAACAAGTGAATGGTACGTTCCGGCCCTGCTTCTAGCTGTTTTTGTATCTGCTTTAGAGCGGATTCAACCGCCAACTAAGTTACTTTGTGTTGTGTCACGCGCAGGAAGTTCTCCAGTCGCTTGTTTTAAAGGAAACCGGATTTGTGTTGACCCAGACGAACACTCCATGTTAGGTGTGAGGTATGAAATGACAGCTTTTCGCCTTTTTTAAACGGGAATCCCGGTGTTCCGTGAATCGCTCCTACTGTGTAGCTAACAGTAAAGAAGCCTCATGTTTTCGTCGAGCCAGGAGGAGCACTGCGCCCCGTCCAAAGACCCGGTCAAGTACGGGGAGCTGGTCGTTCTGGGGTAAGTTCACGTTCTTTAACGATTTCACTTCGTATTTAGAGAACCAGTTAGCGTTTAAAGTTTCATAAAAAGGTGCACTCTCCGCTGCCTCCCTGAAAACTGGCTCTGAATTTGCAGTAGTTTGTTTTTATTTACGCCAACGCTCGAGTTTCACCCAGACGGCAGGCTCAGTTTAGAAATTTACGAGCTCACGTTACTCCGTGAAGCAGACACGTGTCGCAGTCAGAAATGCGTTCACGTTCCTGGTACAGTTGATGACGATGCTTCCCTCTCTGATAACGGGGAATAAAACCGTATACACTGATAATAAACACGTCCGGGATAACTTTAGTTGCCGGGGAAAGAAATTACACCTCCTTCTCTCGGACCAGAGCACTCCTCCCCGCCTTGAAGTTGGATTCAGGGGTTCAGGAATTCGGAAGTCTTGATGGTCCCCACCCCCAGGCTGATTTTTTTTTTTTTTTTTTTTTACATCTATCACAAGCTCTGGCTGCACAACTTGTGTTGTAACATGTTTATTCAAGTTGTCAGTACCTTATTGTTGTCCTGCAAACCTTTAACTGAATAATTTACGTGTTTACATCCACTGAAGCTCAAGACTGGAAGTTTAACTGTTGACATGGTTATCTTAACAATGGAGCATATAATTAAAATATGTGTATTGGTCATTAAAAGAAAATTAGTTAACCATTGGGTACAAAATCAAGGGTCAAAATGCAACTGTGCAGTTCATAATCCATAGAAAAAAATAGCACCTGAAGCATTTGTGCATAAGAAGTAGGGCTACACATTATATAGAAAATGCATGGTGTTGCAATATTAGTGAAGCACAATATCAATATTACAAAGGGCTAATTTAAATCATAAACCATTGTATTTCAAGTCAAAACATTCATGTTTTGCATGTTAATCTAACCAACACTCTGGCCTTGATATCCACATCTGGTTTGGATTATAATGATGACAAAGGAGAAAGTGAAGAAATTTTGGGTTTTCCTAATATTGTGCAGCCCAAGGAGGACTGTTGTGTCTATAAGTTTCACGCCCTATCATCGTGCTATCTTGCAAAGTTCATAGTAGGTTATTATTTAGTTAAAGCCAGTCTTTTTGTAGCTATGTCAATATTTTGTGTTGCACATACGATTTGCATTGCTTATTAGCCTAAAGGAAGTTGCTTATATAATTTCCCCCTCAGAGGTGCCCGTTTGTAAACACGTCCGTTGTGGATGATTTAGCAAAATTTGATGACATTGCCACACATTTTTCTGTGTTTTTGACGCATTGCCTTAAAGCGGGTTGTGAAATGTATAAAGTTTTAGCCTCTTGCATTTTAGTCAAAGTAGATTATGATACAAATGAAATCTTAAGGATTTAAAAAAAATGTTGCCTTTGCTTGTGGAACTTCTACCTCTCTGATACCGGTGACCTTATTTAAACACCATTAAACGTTTAATATTTAACTTTCTTCCAGTGATTTGCCACTGGTTGAAGAACCTGCAACACTTGTTGAACGCACTTGAACTGGGTTGCATAAAAGTAAAAGAGAATGTAATATGTTTCTTTGTGTGTGTATGTGTAACCTCCGACTGTGCTTTCACAGCCACCCTGCTTACTGTTAAGGACAAAAAGTAGTGCTGCTTATTACTCAAGGCTGAGCCTGTTTGATGCTGGGACTTTTGTTCTCTCGCCTGACATCAAGACACATATGTGAATCAGATGTGACGGGTGTAAAATTACTGCCATGACATCACATCCCATTGATAAAGCTGATGGTAGACAAGATAGCTGACAGCATGGAACAAAGCCTGTTTGAACAGCAGTTCCCTCTGTGGTTTGTTTCCACGACTGCCGCGGTGGCTTCTATTACTTGCATGGCTGCCCTCCATCTCTGCTGGGATGGATTGGCTCAGTGCTGGTCACTGAAAGGAGGAAGGGGTGGTGGTGAGTCTGGATTAGTGTTTTGGAAATGAAAGGATGGATTGATCAGGGTGCAGTCCTTTCCTCAGCTTCCTCTGTTCATTGTGGCTGGGAGACTGGGCCTATTGATTAAACTTTCTGCTTTATGCCATAGAGAACTGCTCAGTAGAAGAGGTGACCAAACCAATCTATCTTTGGTACTGACATCCACTGATTGATGGGAGATTATCATTAACTGTAATTATGCATTTAGGTTGAGTTAGTTAAAGACAAGTTGTAATGTACTTGCTCAGAATTATCGTTACATTAGGTTATCTTGTCCCAAAACTTTAATAAGCTTTAATGTTACTCTGCAGGGTCATCTGACAGATTCTGTGGCTCCTAAGGAGCACCCTTGTCTCGCTGTCATGCTAATGAGTGTTAGAACTACTTAGCATATCTCGCCCTTATTCTATGAACGCTAGACTTTCATGTTAGCGCAAGAGGTAGGAGGTGCTGTTGGCTCCTTACCACTACCCGGGAGCATATGCGATACACCAGAGTCTTCTAATCCCTGCTGCTAAATATTGGAAGGTAAATCCGCTTTCTGTCTGGCACAGGTCAAAAAGGGAAGTGATCACAATTAGTTGAGAGCTCTGCTTTAAAGAACCTGTCCTAGCTAATGTGACGGTGGCAGCTCCTGGATGACACAGTATTGTTCCTCAGTGTAATGATGAAATAATTGAAAGCACACGTGGCATTTATTACAGACTTAAAGGAGTTCTGCAGGAGAATTTATTATGGTGCGGAACGCTAAGCTGCATGTCATCTGAATGTTAGCGTGAGGCTTTCAGGCACAAGCAGCCAGCCAGTACTCTCAACAGTGTTGGTTTTTATTTAGGCAGGAAGTTTCTAGCGTAGATTGAAGATATTTTCAACTGCTGCTGTTTTGTCAGCTTGAAATTGAGTTTTAGTTCTGAGAAAACTGATGCTTTAGAAGGACTTACACGTGGTGCGCGTCCTCTTTTCTGAATAACAGAAGCAACATTGGGTAAAATCTTTGGTCAAATCGTATTTTTATAACAAATATCACATGTGCATTGTTGCTCTTTGTCAGTACTACTTGCATATCTGAATAAAGCTTTGCTAAACGTGATAAAAGTCCATAAATGACCTAACGCTGTAGCTTTACCTGACTGATATAGCCATTGTTTTATGTGTGAAAAGGCCTTTAGTTATAGTTTGTCCACAGAATGATCCAGTACCTCTAGCTCTGTGGGTGGCTTTAGAGGCCAGCTCTGTGCTCTGTTCTGACTGGGACCATGTGTTTCTGTGCCTGGCCAGCCGTGTGGAGACATGGGACAGGTGGACTAGCTTGGGAGGGAGGAGGAGGAGGCTCGGGAGCTTTATTGTTTCAACAAGGACATATATTATTTTGTGGTAGAATGGTTGACTTTTGGTGACTTTGTAGTCAAAATTAGGACATTTCATATAAATGTTCCTGTTCGAAGAGGTTGTTTAGCAGACTGTGGTTACATGTGAGGGTGTGACAGAAGGTTCATGTGTTGGACGGGGGTAAAGCATGGGGTGTCCCAGCTGTAGGAACCAGCTGGTAGACAGAGCGATCACCAGTTTTACCGGAAGAGGCTTCCCTCCTCGTGAGGAGGAGTTTGGGCGAGGTGCCTCACACCACACAGAAGGTCAAATCTGGAATGTGTTACTAAATGATTAGGAGGTGCAGAACAGATATATTTTAGATACTTTGAGATGTTACCGTCAGTGGTGTAGTCTACATTTTTGTACTGGGTATACGGTGCTTGTAAACCGAAGTACACCGGTTAATACAATGCATTATTCAATTTATTTTGATTTTTAAGCATATTGAACATTTCAAAATTTCTCTGATGCTTATATTTGAATAAATAAACAACAAAATTTGTACATCAGTTGGTTTTGTATTAAAAACATGTCATAGCATTTGTAAAACAGTATCAAAGCAAAACATGTTCAAGTATTAAGTATAAGTACATGCGTATTAATTATGCAAAATACAGGTTGAAGCAACTCAATGTGTCTATAAAATGTTCCCAATGTGTTGACAATGACACGTGCCCCATCATGTCACGTATCATTGGGCACTTTTTAAGTGGGTAAACTGTGATTCCCAAGCTTTTCTAACGGGTATACTCCGTATACCTGCGTACCTCATAGACTGCACCACTGGTTACTGTGTTCAATTCTGATACGAGTAAAATGGAACGTGTCAGCTCGTTGCTCAGGTTTCTCCAGCCGCTCCTTCTGGAGACCCAGAGTTTAATAATCACTGTAGTTTACACAGTTAAAGCTCACTGAAATCAACAGCCCTGGAGTGCATTATGTAATATGAGACATTATCCGAGCGAGGTGGCGCTTAGATTACTAATGTAGTGTACTAGATTGCCAGTGATGTAATGGGTGGAAAAGCTCCCTTTCAAAACGCACGAATGTTTCTAAATCTCCATGTGTATTTTTTTATATGATTACAAGAATTTTGCTTGTAAATCTCATTACACACATCTCTTTTCAGCCATAAAAAAGCTGTTTGCCTTTTCATTCAGGAAAAAAAAAAAAAATTTTTAAGTGAATTTGCTGCCCTTCTCTCTACCCCAACCCCCTCCCCCCCCCCCCCCCCCCCCTCCCCGGTCCAACGGCTCCCTGCCCAATGGAGATCGGGGTAGACGGAAAAGCAGATTTGCGCTATACAAGAGGACCAAAGCCAATGGTGTTAAGCCAAGCTCTGTGCACATCCTCAACACACCCCAGGATAGCAAGGTACAGAACAAAAGGACGAATTAGCAATTTAATGAACTCCCTCTCAGTGGGAATATAGAATTGCCTGCCTGTCTTTTGATGCACATGTTGGACAAAAACAAAATTAGGATGGCGGTTAATTTTTTTTAAACAGTGACAAATGGTGAGTGTTTTTCTGATGTACATGTGTGACGTTCATTTGATTCAAAATACGCTGAACGCGCAGAAAAGCGGATTTACGGTTAAAGGAAACTGTGGCAAAGTGACTTTTTGTTGATCTCAGTAGCTGATGGAACCTTCCGCTGCACATTTTGCATTATTGTTGGCAGACTCTTGTGTTAGCGTTTCCAGTTGGGTGACTGTAGTTCCCAGCTGGGCCTCATTGTGCTTCTCTTCACACCAGCGAGCAACTATAACATACAGGCCTCCCTGCATTCCTGTTGGTTCCCCAGTAAAACTGCTGAACAAGAACCTGCTCACCTCTGCTGTTCTTTTAAACATTAGTTACTGGGTCGTGACCAAAGGCCCACAGGTTCAGGTTACTGTCACCTTGTGTAACTTGAGTTTTTTCACATTGTGAATGCTGAGCTGCAGCGGTTAAATGTTATTTCTCGGATAACTATGATCTGTATGTAGCACAGTAGAACAATAAGCTTCTTCCACAACAGGAACTGCTGCAGCGTTCTTCCTCTTTCGCTGCCGTTCCTCTTTGCCACCATGTTGCGAGGCCTGGGATTAAAGAGCGTGAACTGAGGATGAGGTTGTGGCAGTAGGCCTGCCCTCCTCCTTTCTCAGCTAGACACATGGTCAGAAATAACTCTCTCTTGGAGACAAGCAGAGTGACGATCCAATTTATAGCTGAAAGAGTGATTAAATATATCAAACGCTAAAAGAGGCGTGCAGGAAAAACATCTTTCTCCTTTTAGCTCGGTCTTTCAGCCCACTCCTGCTCCCTCGGTGTGCAGCCTACGAATGAACTGAGAATGCCTGGTGGCTGAGAGGAGAAGCTCACGTGTCTGAACACACGCTGGTGTTCATGACGGATAATGAGAAGCTCTCAGCAAGTCTTGGCCATCCTTCAATTCAGCCTTTTTATTTTGATACTGAGTCAAACATATTGCGTTATTTGGATTGTGTATACAGTTGTTTTTTCTGCTGAGCAGGCGGAGCGCCGTTTCTTTTGTAGCAGCGCCGTCGAGACAGATGTGCATGAAACAATGACATTTGTCCCCGTCGGTCTCCGGTGTTACAGCAGAGGGTGGCAGCTCTCATGACCCACTTTCACACTCCCTCTTTTTCCTCTTGTACGTGACAAAGTTGGAGGATGTTTTGGAAAGTGGAATTTGCAGATAAGGTCTGGACGATGATGGTATGTGTGGTGAAGTGTTTAGGAAGGGTCGTGCTGAACTTTAACTCTCCCTCCTTTAGCACACTGACTGGCAGTTCAGCTGGTAGACAAGCTTGTGCTAACAGGCCAGTGGCAGTTTATGGTCGCTGTCATGGGAGCGTGACTTTACACTCTTGTCTCTGTTCTTTTTTTTTTTCAAGAATTTCAGCCATGCTTTGTGGTTTAAGGTAACATAATAACAACGAAATTACTGTGAGGAAAAACAAACCGGATAAAAACAAGCACGGTTCCATATTCTCTGCCAAAAGGCGCCATTGGTGCTGTTGAATCTCAGGATGTGACTCAGCAGTTTGAGGTCTTGTGTTTAAACAGCGAGGCTAGTTTTGTCCTTGTGTTGAACATATGCCTTGATTGTGCGAGACATTTTGTATTTTGGTTCCTGTTTGTGACCCAGTGGGAGGCTCTTTGTGGTAAAGCCACAAACAAGACCAAGAGTTTTCCTGTGAGTTCAGTAAAACAAGAAATCGCTGCTTTGTTGCTGTGTCCTTTTTCTTACACAAGTAAAGTGTTATTTTTGTATTATAATGTTCCACATCGTGTGACACATTAGTAAAGAATTGTCATGTTTCAGGCCGTGAACTGTAAAGGCCAGCACAGCATCTCCTACACGCTGTCCAGGCACCAGACGGTGGTGGTGGAGTACAGCCATGATAAAGACACAGACATGTTTCAGGTAAATATCACTTCAATCCTACAGCTGATGCTTCCAAATCCTCAAAAAAAAAATCAACCACTCAGTTAATCATTACTTTGGCTCCAGCTCCATTAGAATTTTGTAAAGCTAAAAAGAGCTGTATTAAAGTCGTTTCATATAGAGTTATGGCTGGGACATATATCATTCACGGTAATACCAGTAAAAAAAACAGGTCAGGGGATTACGCTCACGTGGGTCATGCAGCGATATTCAAATTGTAAAGGCGAAGGCATGAACAGACACATCTGAGCTGAGCGCTGTTTGTCCCGACAGTTTTTGAGCCGGTCACCGTGAGGGAAGCCGTTGCTTTTAGCTTTGTAGCTTGCGCGCTGCTAACTTGGAGCTGCGTCAGCGTGTGGGGCGGGGGTGCGCGCAGCTCGGTTCTGTTGACGCAGCGGGGCACCCCGTTTGTATAACGGTAGGGGAAACACTGAATGCATCAACCGTTTATGATCAAGTTGGACTGCGGAGCCTTACCTGAGTCTGACTGTGCTCTTCATTAACTGACTGGGAACTGTGCACTAACAGCGACTGGGAACTGTGCACTAACAGCGACTGGGAACTGTGCACTAACAGCGACTGGGAACTGTGCACTAACAGCGACTGGGAACTGTGCAGCTCAAACCTCGAGACCAGCTACTTGCCTGAGGATCAGGATATTGGCTGATGGTTCTGATCAGCAGTCCTTTCAGGCAGCATTTCATTTGTTGTCAGTATTTGTCACAAGTTTTATAGCTCATTTAAAGGCAACATATTTTTTGTTGTATGTTACATTTATCCTCAACAGATTTTAAGCTTTAATTTAATTTAGTTTATTTGGGAAACTGCACCTGCACTTGGAGTTTTTGTGGTGGATTTTCTTTCTGTTCTATATTTTGTGCAGACTTTTTCAATCTAAATACCAGAAGGATCACTTTTATTTTTATACTTTGAGACTGAACACTTTACTAGATAAAGTAACTGCAGTAAAATTAACTGTTGTTGTTGTTTTTTATATATAATACTGCAAAACAACATGTTAAGTTAATTTTGTCAAACAAATAACTTGAGTTCTGTTTTTTTTTTGTTACATCACAAAATTTATCGTTATCGTCAGAATGCTCTGAAATATCACAATATTATGTTTGAGCCATATCACCCACCCCTTTATAGAGCCTTTAATTTTTTTACATTTCACATTTAATGTAGTTTAATACCTTTTTGACAGCACATGACCTCACTGCCCATTCAAAAGCTAAAAATAGTATTTTTGTTTAAGGCTAAATAAACCTTCAGTTAATGTGAGCCTCGTCCGTGCTGTTCTTAAATATGACCAAGTGATCACATGAACACATGCTTTGCATTCAGCCTTATCTGTGTCTTTTGAGTAACACTGAAAACACACAGCAGAGGAGAAAACTCAAAGGAAATGTAAAGGAAAGAACAAAAAAAAAGAGGAAATGAAAGTAAGAAAAACATTTTTTTTGAGTCCGGCGATGCTTGAAGCTAAGTCGACAAATAAAATGCAGCTCTGTTTTCCGAAGAAGTCCAAATGTGTACGATGTTAATAAAAACAAAATGTATTATTTTGCAAACGTTATAATGGGAATAGTACAGAATCAGCATATCAACGTGAGACGTTTCACAGGAAAAAGAACAAATAGGACATTTTTTTTTTATTATGATGGCCAAACTGTGAGACAAATAAAACTGAGACGGGAACACCAAGTTCTCATGGCGTCTCTTTGCAGCTAATAAAGGAAGAAAAACCGTGTTTGTAAAAAGTTGTTCAAACATTTCAGGGTTAAACTTGAATGTCTTCAGGGAATTAAAGATCATCATCTTGTGACAGTAAATATGTACCGTATGGTGATGCTGATGAATTTCTGTGTTTTGTTTTTGCAGATTGGACGCTCCACTGAGAGTCCCATAGACTTTGTGGTTACGGACACAATAGCAGGAGGCCAGGAGGGCGAGGAGACCCTGATCACACAGAGCACCATCTCCCGCTTCGCCTGCCGAGTTGTCTGTGAACGTGACCCGCCCTACACTGCACGCATCTATGCAGCTGGATTCGACTCCTCCAAAAACATCTTCCTGGGGGTAATTACTAGTTCGTGTAACATTGTGGTTTTACAGTATCTCTGTAGATTACAAGTGTAGTTCTTCACACGGTGTAAGTATAGTGCAGAAATCTCAGTTCATCGTTTTGTTTCTGTGTTGACTGCTGCAGGAAAAAGCTGCAAAGTGGAAAAACCCAGATGGTCACATGGACGGCCTAACAACCAACGGGGTTCTGGTAATGCACCCTAAAGGGGGGTTTACGGAAGAGTCCAAGCCAGGCGTTTGGAGAGAGATCTCAGTTTGCGGTGATGTGTATACGCTGAGGGAGACCCGCTCGGCTCAGACTCCTGGAAAACTGGTGTGTAGTTTCAAACGTGCAGAAGATGTTGACAGTAAATGAACTGCGTGAAGTCCCCAGTATTTTGTGAAACTTGTGTATTTCTGCCCTTTGCAGGTGGAGAATGAGAGTAACATACTGCAGGATGGCTCCCTGGTGGATTTGTGTGGTGCCACGTTGCTGTGGCGTACCGCTGAGGGTCTCTTTCACACTCCCACCCAGAAGCACCTGGAGGCTCTGAGGCAGGAGATCAACGCTGCGCGGCCCCAGTGCCCTGTAGGTCTTAATACCCTCGCATTCCCCAGCATGCAACGCAGTCGAGTCCTTTCGTCTCTGGAGGACAAGCAACCTTGGGTTTACTTGGCATGCGGCCACGTGCACGGCTACCACAACTGGGGCCACCGCACAGAGCAGGGGCCCAACAACCAGCGTGAGTGTCCCATGTGCCGAGTAGTGGGTCCCTACGTTCCGCTGTGGCTGGGCTGCGAGCCAGCTTTCTACGTGGATACTGGTGCGCCTACGCACGCCTTTGTGCCGTGCGGACACGTGTGCTCGGAGAAGTCAGTCAAGTACTGGTCGGAGATCCCTCTTCCCCACGGCACCCACGCCTTCCACACCGCCTGCCCCTTCTGCGCCACTCAGCTCAGCCTCACTCAGGGCTGGTCGAAGCTCATCTTCCAGGGCCCAGTGGACTGAGCCCATGTCTGCTTCAGCAGGGAACAGGAACGTGCTGGGAAACGGTTCCGATTACTGTTCTGCTTTCTTTTAGTGTAAGCCCACCTTGGAACGAAATCAGTTCATTTACTGTGAATACTTCACAACATTTCAAATTTTTCGGGAGCGTTTTTGGCGGTTTGGATGGCCACTGTGATAAACGATGAGGAGGAGCAGACCGAACCACAAACTCCTTCAGAATGAAATACTGTCCTGCTGGGTTTCCATCAGCTTACTGTAAAACAGGTTGTTGAAGCAACGGGCTGAATTCGATTCAAGCTAACAAGGTAAATCAGGTCTTGTTTATACACAATTCAGGTCCTGATGGGCTTGGAACAAAGTTTCCCCAGAGCCAGACAGCTGGACTGTTGGCTGGGAGAAAAGCCAGGAGAAACTTGGGGTTTAATTCTCCCCATCTGCTCCTCTTGGCTGTCAACGCTGAAAGGCATCCGAATCATCCCCACTCACTAAAAGTGGCTTCCATTCACCAAACTTCAAGGAGACAAACTTTTTGTGTACAGAGACAAAATCCAGTGCCTCAAGTCCCAACAAACTGGGAATATTTTTACTAAAGTTTCAAAGAAATATATATATTTTGTTGAAGGTAAAGACATAGTTTTACATACAGAACATAAAACGACAGCCCACATGGATTCTAACACAAGTGGTATTTTACTACACTGAGTCCCTTTTAATGTTTTTTCTAATGCAAATGTTAATATATATTTTTCTCCTTCGTTTCTAAAGTGTGAGAATGAGTGCAGGTGTGGTTATATGTGAAGATGGGTTGGTTGCATCATTTCACCCAAACCCCCTTTAATGATCTTGTCCCACCACCTAAAATATGCTGACGGAGTCGATCCAGGAATGAAAACAAGGTCACAGGGTTTCACTATGAATGTATGGGAACGCAGCGTCTTCTCACTGGTGCTGCTATAATTATATGACCCGCTTTCCTAGTTTAGCTGAGGCTCGCATGCGGTTTAAGACAACATCGGTGGGCTTAGAAAAACACCTGCTTGCTATGGCGCTCGTTCTGCGCCGTTCGTTAGCTTTATCCCAGCCTGGGTCCGATCCAGCGACGTGTTCACCGTCGAACCTGGGCACGTTCTCAGCAGCGTCCAGAGATTATACCAAATGTAAGATGTTTTCCCCGCATGCAAGAGGCAACGGCCAATCCAAAGTGTTTCTGTAAACAATCGTAACCACAAACTGCTGCTATGATGGAAGGTTGACAGCCTGGGATTACAGTAGAGGCTCAACGCGAACAATATAACGGCACCGCATGCCAAATTTTGTCTATTCTATTGTGTAGACGTGTCAAGTTGTCCCGAACGAAGTGGCGGATGAATTGAAATCTGGGACGAATCTCTGCATTCTCGTGTGCCCGTGTGTAGAACGCAGTGCGTTTCTCCAAAACAATAGAGAGCATTAAAATAATGAGACGTTGACGGCATACAAATTTGCCTCCGGGCCGCATTAAAATGAATAAAACTCATTCAGGTGTCGCAAAAGGGGCGAAATCCACCATGATTTAAGACTCAAACTAAAAAATATTAACAATTTAGGGGCTTTTTTTTTTTCTTTTTTAATAGTTTTTGCCAACAAACATTTGTAACTTTCTTTTGAATGCCAGCATTACTTTTCTACCACACCCTCGAGGAATTTGCTCCATTTTTGCAGGTTTTCTGGAACTGCTGTGCTGCCGGGGGGGTCACGCACTACGCCTCTCATACATGTACAGTAGCATTCCCCCTTCTCACACTTGAAGCTCAAACACTGTGCCCACTGCTTGTTCTGCAACAGCTGCCTCAAACATTCCTCCTCGGTAAACATGGGTGGGGCTCGCAGTTCACCCAAGGGCTTGTTCTACGAATTCAGTCTTCTGCAGGATCTCTGTACACAAAGCCATAGGACACACTGATGCTCCTGATGCCTCCTTTGCAGAGAATAAAGTTGTTGTTTTGAAAACGTGCTGCTCCGAGTTGGATTTCCTACTTGTGCCAAAGGACTCGAGGGCATTATTTGATGCACTGATTTACACGTGTGTGTGTGCATTTGAAGAGGATTTGTTGGTTTTTATTCAGCCCTCGTCTTTGAACTTCAGCCGTCTGCGCCGTTCTCAGTCAGCCAACACAGCAGTAATGTTTAATCATCGTTACACACGTGTTTCATCATGCCTGTGTGAGCATTTACCTACGATCTCAGCTCCCGCTGCGGCTCTGAATTTTGATGGCTCCATCAGAACATTTGTTTAAGATAAGGCAGACTATGTTCTTGAAGTTTTATGTTTAATATGATCAGCTTTATCTTTATTTTCGAAGTGGTTTGCTCGGTTCTATACATCTAGTGGGCACTTTCCCTCGGTGGCCACACGGGGGCACTGTTTCCTCATTAATAGGGATTGCTCCCCCATCCAAACACAAGCTTAAGCCAAGAAATTAAAGTTTTATTTTATTACACAAATACATAAAAAACAATAAATAAGAGAAATAGAACTATGTGATGCCTGTAGATGAGAGAAAATCCTCTAAATGTGTGAACAGACGACTAAAAAGCCTTTTTTATATTAAGATTTTACTCACGCATCTTTGACATTCGTTATGTCTTTGCAGTCAAATTAATTATAAAATGTGCTTTTATTTCCCATCTAACTGTTGGCTCGATGCCAGATAAATGCCTGATGTTTGCAGTTTTTAGCTTTCGTGTTTTTTTCCTCGCTTTCTAAAAACAAAACGTGCTGACGACGACGTTCACAGCCACTCGCACGCAACTTCCGTCTCCACAAACAGGGCACATGAAAGTGATTTAAATACGTGTCAGCTAGGCGGTGGGAGAGGACTGAAGCCGCGTGATGTTTCCTGATTAAGGTTTCTGCAGCTGATGGAAATGGGTTCATACGTCTGCACAGCGGCCTGTTTTTCTGAATGACAGAAGAGACAGTGAAGGTGACAGCATGCTAATTTTGGGATCACTGGGTGACTCCCCTGTTTTAAGCAGGCCAGGGTTATGCAAATAAAGTGGAATGATACTGTTTTCTCAAACCAGTTTTCTGGAGGAAAAAGCAGGGCTTGTGTGGAGCACTGTTTATACATTTCCACACTTTATATTGAAAATAAATCTGATATAATTCATGTTTTCCTCTCAGCAGCACTATTCACATGATAATTACACCAAACGATTGGACACATGGCAACGTGACAAGCAAAACTAGTGAATTCTGCTTTTCTTCTAAAAAATATTGTCCTTGAGAAAGACAAGACGGAACATTTGGCTCGTTTTATTACAGTAAAACATGTATTGCTGCGTATAAATTAATATACAGACCAAACAGTTATATAAAGGAGTAAAAAAACAACTTGTGAAGCCGGAAAACAATTTGAAGTTGCTGCTTTAGATTCACAGAAGCATCACCGTCAACACTAATTAGTTTATTTCCCCCTAAACCTCGTTCCAGATTTAAAAGAATTAAAATTATTGTGACATTTGAAATCAGACTTGAAGGGTAATATATGGAGCGTCCTGTTTTTAAGGAGTTTTGCTGTTAACGGGACAAAAAGTGGAAACGCTTGTAAAGAAAGAACTGTGTCGGCTTCAAGAAACCTTCAACTTGATGGCAACCAGTGAAAGGTACGTGCAACCAGTTGTGTTCTAACAACTGGGTTTATTTTGTTACTTTGTAGGCTTTCTATCAGGAAACATAAAAGAGCCACAGGTGGCAATTTAAAAAAAAAATTAGAGTGAAGAAATTACCTAAAACATCTAAAATAGAGATAATTGTTCTCTTCCTATAAAACAAAGCAGATTTGAGTCATTACATTTTAAATGGTCACCTAAAAGGATGCTGGTCCATTCCCAACTGGTGTGGTCTGTGTTGAAAAAGCCATTTTTTATCACATTGCACTGGTTTGGCTTCGGTTTGAGTTAATCACCTAAACTTGAACCATCTTTTTTCTGTCTGTAGAACATGACGATCCAAATGTGAAGAGGACTGCGTCGACGTCAGGCCTGTTTACCATTCCGTGCGGCGCCCGATGATGCTTCAGCGTTCCCAATGAATAACAAATGAGTTGTCAAATAAAACGAGAGGAGCCTCATACGATGCTTTCATTAGGACACGATGAGACAAGAGGTTTGGAGAATGAAGCATTAAATTCAGACATGAAAGCGAGCACCTCGTGTCCTCCCCCCCCCCCCCCTCTTCTAGAAGGCTACTCATCCAAACAAGGGGCCAAATGGCTTTAATTAAGGAGTAATTGCAGAGTCTTGTGTTAATTAAATCTTTATCAGTTAAAATAAGTGGATTGCTCCCACAAGGAAAGCACAGAGACGTGCTGCATGGCTCCCCTCCTCTCCCAACTGCTTTTCTTCCAGCATCTTCCCTGAATTAACATGATTTGAGAACGGAAGGGGGGGTGTTTCACCAACTTTGTCGCCAGCTGTGTCTTCAAAACACCGTAACAAACATGATGTGAGGGAGTGTCCTTTGCTGGAGAATGAGATACACGATTTATCTGAGGTTCCTGGTGTTTGACAAAATTGAATCCTCTCATTTTAATTGCTCTCGACTAGGTGTGCTGCTCCGGGCCATGGAGACGTGAGCGCTGTGTGCCGTCCCTTGTTCTCCACAGACCATTATGTTTCATTGTGCAAGCTGCCGATTATGATTTGCCATATCCTTGTCATCTATCTTATTTAGGATCATTTAGGTAGCCACATGTTACAAAGGAGCAGCAGTCAGCCCTGTTATTATGTGTTTGAATCCCCCGCTTCTTGTAATGAGAACACGATCACAGAGGAGAATTAATCTGTCTGAAGACTCATTCACTGATTCAAGGCCTCTCTGCATGCACATTTAACATCACAATAACACAGGGAGAATTTATTGAACGCGTGCAAATCGAACAATTGCTAACAAATGTATATGAAATCGTAGATGGAAAAACAAAATAGAAATGCAACAGTGAAAACGGCAAAGAGGCTGGAAAATAAGTTGTTGTTTTTTTAAGTCGAAGTAAAACCAACTGATTTAATTATTTATTGTTCATTTCATGCAAAACGAAATCTACAAATGCAGTTCAGTCCTATACAGGGTGTCTCAAATAAATACATTTAAAGCAGAATATTTTAGTTATCTGCTGTATTTAATCAAACTTGACAGATTTTTTTTTAATCTAATCAAATCGAATTGTGTAACGTTACATTCAAAGCAACACACGATAAAAGTCGTTCCTCCATTTGGAAATTCATTTCTCGTGTCCTTTTGATTGATGGGGATGTTTGCATCCAATATAAAGTCTGTCAAAAGTGGATGCATTTTTTTTTTTTTTTTGGGTGATGAATACTGCAGCGTTTTAATAATTTCATGTGCATACTGTTTGCATTTTGGCTCGTGGACTTTGTGCGCAGCTGTTTTTTTTATTATCAGAAATTGTTTATGGGGCGACAAATGGGCGTCATGTGGATCTGCAACAGATTCAAAAGAGCTTAACTGGATTACACCTCATTTCAAGGATGCTTAAGGTAAGATTAAAACAGATATGTGGTGAGTGAGGGGAAATACAGAAGTCAAATACATGGGATTTTATTACTGTTTTCTCATAGGCCACTTGCTCATGCGTCGCCGTGCTCACTCTGTTCCAAAGGCAATGAATTATAAACTATTCGCAACATGAATATGAGACGATGTGTCGGCGGTTAATGTGGAAGCGTCTCCACAAAGGAGACACGTGAACAGTTCCCACAAAACAGTTTTGCTCCATTGGACCATCACAATTCGACATTAATGCCCTTTTTCCTTATCTTGCGCAACAAATCCCCAGAGCTGGAACATTAGAAATCTCTTAATCACACACACCGCCGTGCAAACACGCACATTATCACACCTCACACACAATCTGAGCAGATAATGAATTTAATGCAGCTGCTATTACTAATGGTAACAGTGTGGAGCCATATGGAATGAGGGTTATTTTCTCCACTTTGGACAAGATGTCAATTAAAAAAAAAAAGGCCTTGTGGACGCAGGATGTGATTAATCCAGTGGACTCTAATGACTCCTGTGTGCCTTGAATAGGAGCCTCTGAATGTGCTCCGTTTTATCTTCCCTATCAGGGTTCCACTTTATATTAACGCTCTATTGAGCATTTATGTGCACGCCGTACAGTTCTCTACGCAGTGTGGGGGAATGAAAATAGGAGTTTAAGAGAGGAGACTTTATGACGTGCCCGATTAACCCCCCTCCCCTGCATCCACCTCCTTCCCCACGAAAATTCACTCCCATCTCCTCCCGACATCCCTCAGCCATCGCTGCAGCCCGGCGGATAACCGAGCTCGGATTAGCAGTGACATCACACCGAAGAGGAAGGGTGAGCGCTCTTGGTTTGTGCGTGCCGCGCGGGTGTGAGCGTTGCGTGTGTGTTCGGCACTGATTAGACGGCGAGGGTGGCGGTGAGAGGAAGACGAGGATTAGAGAGCCATCGGAGAGATGGTTAGGTGCTGACACCACTCCACCTCGCCAAGGGCTCAATATTCTGAGGGATCAGACTCATTTGTGACGGGCCTGGATTATTATCAGCTCTATGGGGCCATTGCTTTAGTGCTGTCACCCCTTGACCTGTGAAATTTGGACACTTGTGAGACATTTATGAGTTCAGGTATCTTGTTTCAGCTATAAATGAGTCTTGCAGCTGGTAGTAAAACCATTAATGTGAGATTTATTTTAACTGTAGGTAATATTTGGTTTGGATTTTGCTAAAATGTCAACACTTAAAACCACTCGGCGTCAAACTTCAGGAAGAGCAGGCATCATTTTATTTTTGAAAATGTAAAGCAAAAAGTAAAAGTGCCACTGGTTTGTAGAAATGACAGTTATTTCCTTCAGCAGACAGAACAGCCACGGATAAATATCAACAGCTCCAAAAATAGTTCATTTTTTTACAATTAACATTTTGTATATGTGAAAATCGATGTATACAAATGAAATTAAACAAGTTTAGTGTTCAGATGTTATGGGTACATGAAAATGCAGTTTTGCGCAGTTTCCGAACAGAAATCTAAATATGTCAGAAAACCAGGTGAAATTTTCAAGATGTATTCAAAAAGTTTAAGAACTACACTTTCCAGACAAGACGGGGAAATAAAATCTCTTTACCGTGGTTTAAAGAATAAATTGATATATAAAGTATCCTTGGATATTGTGCAACATTTATATTAAACGCTCACTTAAAGACATTAACCAAACTAAGTAAAAGATTTTGGTGATATCAATGCTACTCAATAGCATTAATTATTAGTGTACATCCTTCTATGTGCAAATAAAAATATAATAACGATAATAAAATTAATTATGAAAAAAGTAAATGAACCTGAAACACTTGGTAGGAAATACTTTTCTTCCTCTTATGAAATGATTATAATAGCTATAATTTCCTGCCTTACTGCAAATCCCTGCAATTTCATCCAAATATCGCGCCTCCGTTCGGTAATATCGCGAGATTTACTCCTCAGCGTGAATTAGACGCTACATCCTGGCAACAAAACAGCACGAACTTCAAAATCTCCAGCTCACAAAAGTAAAACTGCAAACTTCTCACTTCGTGTAGTTTTACCTTCACCTCAGCTCTGCGTTTGAGATGTTCAGAGGCATAAATCGCTCACAGTTATCTTTAGAGTTACGTCCTCGGCGGTAGATGCTAACTTTAGCTCGCTAGTTGAGCGACAGTCTACCGGAATCTTCTTTGTTTTATTTTTGCCAGATACAGAAATGCTTTTGGAGCGCAAAGGAAGCTGGATTTTGACTGGAACTGTCGTTGCCTGTATTACGGCGTTGTACGTGCCCTGTGTGCAGAGGACTGTCCCTGGCGGAGACTCAGGTTTGTGCTAACAAGCTAACTTGTGCTGGACTGGTCACGTGACTTTATTGTGTTGCTGGACAGCCAGTCATGTGGCACCTTGTGTGCGCGCGTGCGGAGCAGCTAGAGAAACAGGAGCTGTCCGTGGTGCTGCAGGCAAAGGTACATTTATTTATTCAGGGGAGAAGGATGAATGAATGACTTTTGCCAATAGCAGTGAACTCTAGTAAACAATCTGCCATGTATAAGATGTACGCTAAATTTAAAAAAAAATTGTCTAATGGTTCTGCATGAGGAGGTTTAAAAAAACCTTAACAAATATGCATGTATACATCCTTGATCAGGGGCCACAGTATCCTGCTCAGTACAGTCAAGTATATGTATTACCCAAAGTAACAGATTGGCCCTGAGCAGAATTTATAAAACCTAATTCTCTGTCACTGACGGTTCCGATGAGGACAATTTAGGGATAAAAGTAGGTAGAGGCAGGAAAAACGCAGCTAAAACAAGCTTTAAAGCTTCTCAGAAAAGATGATAATCAATAATAGTAGTCTGAATCAGTTTAACCATCTTATTTTTTATTTTTTATTACTTTGTATTCTGTTGTAGCTGTTGAAGAACATGCATGATGGGAAATCAAAGCAGGCTGCAGTAAGAGGGTCTTGATCAGCTGGTAAGCTAGTCAACATCTAAACTTTAGTTCCATGTTCTGCCTTTTGTGAGTTACACTGGATAAAGTAAACCCTGATCAGGAAGTGGTCTCCAGCTACAAATACTTGGGTGTGCACCTGAACGACGATCTCAGCTGGAGCAACAACACCACCAGCCTGATCAAGAAAGCTCATCAGAGACTCTACTTCCTCAGACGGCTGAGGCGAGCTGGTCTGGGAAGCTCAGTCCTCACCTCCTTCTACAGGTGTGCAGTGGAGAGCATCCTGTGCTCCAGCATCAACGTGTGGCATGGAGGCTGCACAGCTGCAGAAAGAAAAGCTTTGCAGAGAGTGGTGAAGGCTGCACAGAAGATGTTGGAGTCAGGCTCCCCACCATCACAGACATTTACACCTCTGGATGCAGGAAGAGAGTCACCTGCATCATGAAGGACCTCACTCACGCAGCACACACACTTTTTGCCCCACTCCCCTCAGGAAGGAGGTTAAGGAGCATTAAGTGTATATATTAGACTGAGGAACAGCTTCTACCCTGAGGCTATTACACTCATGAATTTCTAATCAGGATAATCACAGTGAAAATATCACATAATGTTGCTGATCTATAACAAAATTGCTAAAAATTAGAAAATATTATCCTTTTAAAACTTCATAAATTTTCGATAACAAGTGGGGGATTTAAGGTCAAGGTCACATTATGCACAAGGTCAGTTTAATTTCAAAGTAATAGAAAAGGTTAATGAGATCTGTCATATCAAAAATGTAAGGGTAGATTTTGAACACTCATCAAATTTCCTTTCCATTGACAAGTTTGTGAAATTGACCTAAAATGTGAGATCCTGTGCTGTGTGATCACAATGTAACAAATAAACCAAGTTTCATCAAAATATGACACGGTCAGATTAAAATTTTCTCTTTTTGTTGTGTGATTTGATACAAAATTATGTATTGCAAAGAAGTATGTACATAGAAAAATAGGATTTTTCACTTGTGACAGCAGGAATGATGTGATAAAAATCCAGCAATAATGATACTTGATAAGAGACATATGATTGCATTTGTCCATCCATCCATTATATTTGCCCACTTCTTACTTTTTGGGTCACTGGTGCCCATATTCATCATATCACTTGAGCGAGAGGCAGGGGGACACCCATGACAGGTCTCCAGTCCATTACAGGGCCATATAGAGACAACCAACCATTCACTCTCTCACTCACACCTAGGGACAATTTAGAGTTACCAATGCATGTTTTTGGTCTGGAGAAAACCCACAGAGAGAACATCCAAACTCCAAAAAAACACTTTGCCGTGGTTATGTTATTTAAATTTCATTCAGAACCTTGAGTTGTGTAACATTTGTAATGCATTTGTAATATGCAAGTTTTGCGAGATTGCCTAACACAAATTCTTTTAGAGGTGATAAGGTTACAGACTTGTAAATGGACTTGATGACATGAAGGCTCTGCATGTTATGTTTGCACAGCTCAGACATTCAGGCTGCAAAAGCAAATGCATTTTGCAGCATGAAGGCGTAAAAAAAAAAGGCTCAGCCAGATATAAACAAACAGAGGAGAGAGCAGGCAACTGGAGCGCTGAGTAGCCCTGATGGATGTGCTGCTGTCTGGCGGGGTCTTTGAAAAAAAATGGCCAGCCCTCTCTCCACAGTGTTTAGGGACGGTGCAGGATGCCCGCTCTGATAGTGCCAGCTGAACACCCGTCTAAATTCTCCAGGTCTCCGTCTCTGTGTCCTAATCTCTTTAGGTGTGATGTGCCCTGGAGAGGCTTGAGCGCAGCCCTGCGGGGACGCTGTTGTCTAGGAATGTGAAGTGTGGAAATGACGGGGATTATGGGAAGACTGATGTGGGTGCCCATGCTCCACAATCACAAAGAGTCTTGGCATCCATGCCTCTTCCCCGTAGAGTCAATATTTTCCCTTTTTAGTACTGGGGCTGCAGAACTGCATCTCTGTGGCACCGAGATGGATGTTTTGGCTTAGTCCTAGTTTCTGTGCTGAATGGGGTAAAAGTGTGCCACTACTGAGGGAAAATGAGTGAAATTGAGAAACTGATGAAGGATGAGAAAGTGTGATGTAGAATGATGGCATTTAGCTGGCGGCTCATGCCAGGTGACATGGAGCTGTGAAAACATTTAAGCTGTGCAGGTGGAGGAGTTCTGACTTCATGGTCCATTAAACTGATAAGAGCTCGGGCTCCTCGTGTGGCAGAATTTTCGGTGTCGTAATTCACTGTATCGGCAGGGTTGCGAAATATTTGAAGCAGCCCGCGCCATCTGAAATTCAGCCATTCTGTTCTATAATTGTTGTTTGCTTTGGACCATGTTTATTTTTGCCGTGTTAAAAAAAAAAAAACTTCCAGCTGCTTGGGTTTAAAATAGCCTGCTGATGCTGTGTTTAATGTTTTAATAGCCAGGAACGAGTGTGATATAAACCATGACCTTTGAACTTGTGTAATTTTCAAAGAAAATAGGTGAGATTTTATTATTTTTATTATTCAGTGTCCTCATTTACTGGAAATCCTTCAAGTCCTGTACAGCAATTAGCTCCTGAGAACAAGTTTTTTCTTAGTTGAACTTGAAAAGGACAAGACTTTCCATTTAGCACCAGTAGAGGGCGCTGTGCTGATCCCCTGCTTTTATCAATGTCATTTAATCTGAACCAAATTTCAATTTCCATGAGTGTAGGATGCAAACATTGGGTGAGAAATCAGTATAATTTGCAACGCTTTGGGTGTATTCTGGCACAAATGGGCTTGTGCCCAGATACATTAAAGCTTCCTCGAATAGCTTTTAGGGGTTTTCTTTTCACTTTGTGCGGCACCTCGCACAGAGCTTGTCAGAAAATTGTGCAGCCGGCTCTTATTTTTACAGCTTACCTCATTCTGTGTCTGTCACCAGCGTAGCCTTTTCTGTTCGTGCCCAACGGACTAAAGGAGACACTAAGACACTGGGAGTGTGGGAGCTGCACAGAACAGCAGAAGAAAGAAGGAAGGAAAGGACCCTGATGCATGGGGAGGATGGGAGTGGAAGCATTATTCTCAGATCAGCATATGTGTGTCTTTGTGTGACAGAGCATTGGAGAGGCAGCCTCACAGTTGTGTGTGTGTGTTTATATCTGTGCGTATGTGCCGGGGAGAGGGAGGGAGGCATCATGGGAGAAGCAAAAGATGAAGAGAATGAGCGTGCTGCTTAGGAAATGTCACACTGGGAAGATTTGCAGGTTTTGATCCTGGCAAATTAATGCAAAACCCCAGTGCAAGTATTTGATTTGGGAAAACTTTGGGAGCAGACTTGTCTCTTAATAATAATTATTGGGTTTACATTAATTTCCTCCCCTTTTCCCTTCCACAGGAGAGCTGATCACCACTGCCTGTGAGCTGGGGGTGAGTATTAGCTGTATTGTTTAATCAATTCACTCATTAACTCTTATAAGCATTAAGGAAGTTTAATTAAGCATGGGCAGAAAGCAGATTAATTTACTTTCAGTCCACAGGTTCCCCCCCCCCATCTTTTCTATACACTTATTTTACTAAGTTGCAAGTAGAGAATGCTATAATTTGCAACCCGTTTTTCAAATCCAATTAAAGTCAATGGTAAGGCAATGGCTTTTGTAGGCTTTGCCTTATGTACGGTATAAGGCTTATTATATCCACCCCTCTTTTTTGTGTGTGTGTGTAAGCCGCAAAGAATGAACTAAATCGGGTTAACAGTTATAATAAGTTTTATTATTTAATAAAGTTTATTACGCCGCTGTGATCCTTTTAGGGAGGCTGTGTCGGTGTCACTATGCCAGTAATCCTGCAGTTAGTGCTGCAGTCCGTGTGGCCTGCCTGTCTGACTCTCAGGCCTCCCCCAGGGCCTCGCAGGCCATCCCTTTGCCCCAGGCTGCTGGCCCCCCCTTCCTGATCCCCAGAGCTCCATAGTTCTGCCTCTCTTTGCGCCGCGTTCATCCCTCAGCTGTCTTTCATCTGGGGGACCTCCCATTTAAACAGTTTAAATCGAGTTACCTGTTACAGTTCGACACATCGTCAAACAAATGTTCAAATGCACTTTTCTTTGCCGCCTCTTTGCTTTTCTTGTTTTCGGTTCATGTTCCAACACCACTCGGGTTGTTTAGTTTTGTATTTCTTATAGAGACTTTGACGTGTTTAAGGTGACTGGTGAGCTGTTCACTCCTTCACCTTGCAGCTCTGCTCGTTTCGAGGAGCTGCCCCTCGCCTTCTGTCTGCGCGGCTCGCGTTATCAGTGCCGGGGAATGAGCCTGCGTTTAATGACTGAGCCCTTATCTGGGTTGGAGGAGACTTAGCGGCTAATTGCTGTGATTGCCGAGGTCCCCCAGGCGAGAGCGACTGCGGCTCTGAGGTGGTTTGGGGACTGAGGCTGGCGAGCACCACGTGCTTTGCCTCGGGCTCTAGGGAGCTGCGTTGTCCTTGGGAAGAGGCCAGAGGATGAGAAGAGAGAAGAGGGTGGAAGAAACCGAGGAGGGTCGAAGGAAACAAGACAACTTTCAGAAATATCTCGCTACATGTGTTTGACTTTTCTCAAGCTTCAACAACGCCAATTCAAAAAAAAAGCTTAGATTTTGTGTAAAATGTATATTTTATTCACAGTAGAACATAATTTTAGTTCTTTGCTGCATTTTCATTGGATGGGAGCATAAGTTGTTTTAAAACCTGTATATACTTTCCTGCATTGATGGTGACTTTGCCAGATGTGTAAGCTGTCCATTCCAGAAGAACTTATGCACCCCCATATCATCAGAGACGCAGACTTTTGAACTATGCGTCGATAAGAGGACATAGTGTTCATGGTTTCCAAAAACAATTTTGGAATTTAACATTTTGATTCGTGGCCACAGAGCAGCTGTCCAGTTTGCTTCTGTCCATTTTAATGAGCTTTGATTCAGAGAAAACTGCAGGGTTTCTGGATAGTGTTCACAAATGGCATCTTATTTGCACGATAGAGCTTTAAGCAGTGTTTTTGAATGGCACAGTGAGCAATGCTCCATCAGCACTTACTTTTACAGCCTTTTGCTGCCCCTGTCCCAAATGTTTTTTTTTTAATTATCTTGATTTATTTCCCTACAATTGGTAATTCTTTTTTTGTCCCAACATTTATTATATTTACTATGTTTGATTGTGAATAAAATACAGATTTTAGGACATTAACAAATCATTGCATTCTGTTTTTATAAAAAAGTTTACACAGTGTCTCAACTTGTTCAGAACTGGAGTTGTACTGGAATATATGAGATCAGTAACTAGCATGTACGCTTTCACCACTGCAGCATGTTGTCATCTTAATCACAACTTAGTGGGAGCAACTAGCAAATGAATGTGCAAACATCTGGAGCTGGGTCTTGCTTGTCATTGTGTTTGTAGGTGGCTCATCCTCCAGGATATCCACTTTTCACCCTCCTGGCTCGCCTGTCCATGAGTTTACTGCCGTCCTCCTCACCAGCCCACAGTGTGAACCTGATGAGCAGCCTTCTGGGGGCTGCAGCTTGTGGCTGCCTCTGCATGACAGTCTGCAGGTAGGAACACACTCTCTCCTTTTGTCCAGTACAGTAGTCCCTCGTTTATCGCTGGTGTTAGGGCCCACACCCACCTGCGATAAGTGAAAAACAACAAAGTATAGATACTAGGGATGGGACCGATCCAGTATTGGTATCAGCCTCCGATACCAGCATAATTTACTTATCAGATTTTTCCGATCCATGATGCAAGTTTACTTCAAACTATGGAATGGATTTCCTGAACGGTGGCGTGTCTCATGAACCCAGAGTAATAAGACCCGCCTCACATTCAGGAAATCCAGTTCATAGTTTGCAGCCAGCTACAACGTGAGGACTGAGTTAGCAGCACAGTGGCTAACAGCTAACCAACTTTTCATCTAAACATGTCCGCTGCGTGGAAGTATTTTACATAGAAACACCACAAAGCAAGACAGCAACGTGCAATGTCTGCAGAGCCATAGCGCCACATTAAACCGCGGTAAAGTTAGTTTTACATTGGACATTCGAACTCCATGGCTTCAGCGGTCTGCTCCTCTCGCTGAACCTGTAGCAGGCAGCCCGACTCCGGCCAGCTGCGTCCAATGTGCCCCGCTCAACTTGCCGGTCTCTGAGGAGGGACAGACTGAGCGCGGTTGACCGAAATCAGGCTGCCTGCTTCGGATTGAACAAGAAGAAGACATCGCTGAAATCCTGGAGCTCAAATGTTTACAGAGAAGTTACTAAACTTCATCATAATTAATGACCAACCACTATCACTTGTAGAAAACGAAGAATTTATCAGCTTGATTCTTGCAGCCAAGATATAGTTTACCCTCCAGGAGATATTTATCAGTACAACAGTAGACAATCATAAAAAACAAAACATGATTTGAAAATTACAAGA